ATGCGGAATACGATCTCGGAAGTCATTGGAATGTGCGAAGTGTGCGCGCGCACTAAATATGACAGACGACCACCTCAAGGAGTACAAGAAGAAACCCCTACAGGAGATACGCCGTTGAAAGATGTGCAAATCGACACATTCACGTGGAGAGGCTTTAAATGGGTTACCATGCTAGACCTCTTTAGCAAAATGGCAATGGCACATCGGGTACAGGATAGGTCGGCGGAGGCTGTCATGGGAGCTCTCCAAACGTGGGTCCAGTTCTATGGAGTGCCAGATCGCATAACGTCGGACGGAGGCAGGGAGTTCGACAGCAGTACCATCCGAGAAGAAGCGAAGCGCTTGGATATAGGTTGGCATTTCAATACGCCGGGACATCCAAAGGGCAGAGGAGGTATCGAGAGGTTGCATAGCACCCTAAGTGATCACCTACGTATATATCAAGGGGAGCAGGGATTAGAAGCGGACGTAGCAATGCAGAGGGCGGTAGCGGCTTACAACCATTCAATCCACTCCGTTACAGGGTTTTCCCCAGTCGAGGTACTGTTCGGAATAAATATACGGCGTCGAGATTGGAAGGAAACAGTCACGAGCGAGGATCACGCTCAACAAATAACGTGTAACAGAGCGCAAATAAGGAAAGTGTGGGATAAAACGAAAGGGAGAATAGAGAAAGAGAAGCGGAAAAGGGTGGAAAACGTTAATTTGAACCTCAGAGATAGAATGGGTGCATTAAAAATAGGGACGGTCGTCTATCGTAGGGTCGGATCCAATAGGGGGAAGGAATTGGCGCGCTACGAGGGACCATTCAAGGTAATCATACTTAGAGAGCACAACGTTTGTACGATCCAAAGTCTGAAGGATCCCAGAAAAAGGAGGACTGTTCACATAGAACAGTTAAAACTCCCGATAGAGACGGAGTCACTACAGTAGTGTGATATCCTCTTTTCTATCTCCTACAAGCTAGGGACCGACGCTAAAAAGTTAATTTGATTTTGTTGTTCACTTTTGGTTGTAAGATAACAGTGTCTTTTAATTTTATTTTTATTGTTTTTTATGCTATTCTTACTCTGGATGTTCTAGGAACTCCAACGGCGATTATATCTTTTCTTTTTGTTTGTTTGTAGTTGTTGTATTTTGGTTATGTATTACGTCAGTTACCCTGCGTTAGTTTATGAGGAATGTTCATAAACTGGCGGGGGGGAGTTATGGTTAGAGGTAAGACAATATAACAGTTAATCCTAAGTTAATCCTATCTATGAAGTGTAAACAAAGTGTAATACTATATATATGGCATTACTAAGGCAATAAAGTCAGTATTCTTTGAGTAACCACGTGCTTCATTTCGGATCCTTTTTCCCTTTTTTTTATTATTTCTTGTTCGAACTGACGTAAGTTCTAGTCAAATCACTCAAGAATTCATAACTTTGGTTCTACTCAATATTTTGTTTTAATTTAAAGCCTATATTTTAAGTCAAGTAAACCTAAACATGATTTCAAAATTTCAAAAGTCTATCATTAGCCGTTGCCGAGCTTATCCCTGACATTTCGTTGGACAATGCGGACATCCAGACAGACAAAAAATATTTTAAAAGTGGATTTGGTGTCTGTAATGTATGGAACGGAAAGATATCATGAAACGGGTTGATTCTATTTAATGTACAGACAAAACCTTTATTTTATTTATATAGATGATCTTTAACCTATAAACATATGTTTATTATCAACATTAACCGAGATCTCTAGACAAATTACTCAAGAATTCCAAACTTTGGTTCTGCTCAATATTTTGTTTTCATTCAAAGTCTATATTTTAAGTCAAGCAAACCTTAATATAATGTAAAAATCTCAAAAGTCTACATTAAGCCATTGCTGAGCTTACCCCTGACAAAATTGCGTTGCAATGCGGACATACAGACAGACAAATTTTTTTTTTTAAAGTGGATTTGTTGTCTGCAATGTATGAAACGGAAAGATATCATAAAGCGGGTTGATTCTATTCAATGTACAGACAAAATCTTTATTTTATTTATAAAGATTAGATGGCTATGAAAAACATATGGTAATTAATTGTTTTAAATAGTATATTGTACCGTCTATAATTTTTACTTCCATTTGCCTATATATGAGATATATAGTAATATAGCGATCGCCAAAATTTTCGAATCTTAGTTTTCAACGGAAATACATGTTTTGAGGTCTCCTGTGTCCAAATAACCAAGTCCCGCAAAATGGGGTGTGTGTGTGAACAGTCAAGCTCAAAATCGGAAAGCCGTATGAAAGTGAAATTGCATATTTAAGGTTTTTATAAACCTTAGATGTTACAGCAACTTGTTCATCAAAATCGGCTGACCGGAAGTACCACTTTATATCTTCTTTTTTTTCTTCCTCCGTAGCCCCCATCGGAGTTACCATCAATCGCCGGTCCCATTGATCACCTGTGTCCCTGATAATTCTTTTCCATCTTTGGTGTCTTCTTCAGTTCTCATCTTTAGATGTTCCGGTAGATCCGCTGAACCTTTTCTTTTCATTTTAAAGAGGTAATAATTATGCTCGCAGGAGGAAATCGTGAGGTGTCCCCCTTGCCGGTATGTCTGAATCGATGGTAGCCTACTCATCTGTCGGTGCGAGAGGTTTATGTTCCAGGCTGGGGACGCATATCTCAGAATAACCAAAACTAATCCTTTGTATATAGTCATTGTAGCTGGGTATCTGAGAGCCCAGAAGGCGCCTCCGACACGGCTGAGTCCATTTAGGGCCACTGTGACTCTAGTTCCCCATATAGTCCAGGTGAGGAGTCACGTTGAACTTTCGGTCAATTTTTATGCCAAGGTAGGTGACAACCTCACTTGGACAAATCCTTTCTTTTTCTATACTCAACATAACATGATGTGCCCTTTCAGTCGTGAACCTTAAGAGAATTACCTGGGTCTTTGTTGCAGCCATCTTTAACTTCATCCTCTCGCACCATCTTCTTACCAAACTGGCGCAGTTCAGCTTCTGCTTTCAGACCAGCTATGCTGTTTGAGGCCACCACGGCCGCCAAATCGTCAACATGGACCGTGGCAGGGAACCGCTCCTCTTCGTGTTTCTCCAGCAACTCGTCAAAGACTAGCTTCCACAAGGCAGGACCCAGAACAGATTCCTGCGGGCAGTCCTTCCCGACGGTGTCTTCTACTTCAAAGAACCTGTCCCTAATTTTCAATGTCCGATCCTGGAGGTAGCTTCTCACTAGATCATACAGGTTACTGGGAGTTTCATACTTCTAGAGTTGCTGGAGAACACTCGGCCACCACACGCTGTCAAAGGCAGAGGATATGTCGAACAGGAGAAGCATAAGATAATTGTTTTCTCTATTATATGTCTTTTACTGTTTGCTATTTACATTATGTTGTAATTATATTATGTTGCTATTACCTTCCCCTCCTCATCCATCACTCCCAATTCCACATCTATGCTGACGATTTCCAAATATACCCGCCATTCTCCCCTTTTGATCTATCAGCCGCCACAAAAAGCTTCAAGAAGATTTAAATACAATATACTACTGGGCAGGAGCTAACAAGCTGAAGTTGAATGCGGAAAAGACCCAGGGATGATCCATCACAGGATTATAATAATAATAATAATCTTTTATTTATTCTGGGACGAATCCCTTTAGAATAATTAACAAGGGCAGAAATGTGGTCTTTTGAGCCTCAGATATATATACATGTATTTACAAAGTTTACTAATAAATACAATAGAGAAACAAGTTATCTTCTAGATTAAATCGATTAAGAAAAAAATATAAATGAAAGAACAATGAAATGAAAATAATTGAAAATAAACTAATAACATATATACATATTTACAGATTTTTTTATTTACAATTTTAGAGGGACTGGATGAAAAGAACGTGATTGAATAGGCGGGATTTAAAAGTAGGGAGAGTATTGGAGCGATTTGGATTATCATGTAGGAACAAGGTCGGAATGTTAGGAAAGTTTTGAGGAGGTGATTGGACCCTATTAGGATTGCATTGGTCTTTCCGCATTCAACTTCAGCTTGTTAGCTCCTGCCCAGTCATATATTCTATTTAAATCTTCTTGAAGCTTTTTTGTAGCGGTTAATAGATCAGAAGGGGAGAAGGACGGATATATTTGAAAATCGTCAGCATAGATGTGGTATTGGGAGTGATGGAACAGCAGGGGAAGGTCATTAATGTAAAAAGCAAACAGAGTAGAGTATAGGGAGGATCCCTGAGGGACACCACAGGAGATGGTTCAGTGAGGAAGGGTTAGATGTTTTATTCAAAGGTCGGATTATCGCAGTTTTTCAGAAAGAGGGAAATATGGAATTTTGCGATGAAAAGTTGTACTTATGATTAAGTACTGGAATAAGGGTAGGAAGGCTGGATTTTATTGGTTTTACCGGAATATTTTCAGGACCATAATCAGTGGTGTGGGATAGGATAATGACCATACATTAGTGAGAAGAGCCACGGTATACCCGAATAGGACGGACATGTGCCCATCATGGGACATTTGGGACCTCCGTAGTGCCGTGGAAAGATAAAAGACTGGCCGGGCTCCAGGTTTAGATGCGATTGATGCGGCAATGCTCAAGAATAACATTCCCTATCTAGAGAATAGGCTGCTTGCGATAGGGAATACTTTCCAAGAAGCTGGAAAATTGCTGATGTCAGGCTCTTCTACAAAGGAAGAGACAAGGACAAGCAACTTGCCAAATCATTCAGTCCCATTTGTGTCCTGTCTGTAATAAGCAAGGTATTGGAAAACCTGGGTCTTGAGCCTTCGGCCAGTCTTATCAAGATCGAGCCATCCACGGCAATATGGATCCACTAAAGACAAGGGAATCGCATATGGCATATTGCGAGTAGGTCATGATGTAGAAGAAAGGGCGGAGAGGTATGTTATGCTTCTCCTGTTCAACATATTCTCTGCCTTTGACGGCGTGTGGTGGCCGAGTGTTCTCCAACAACTCCCGAAGTATGAAACTCCCAGTAACCTGTATGACCTAGTGAGAAGCTACCTCCAGGATCGGACATTGAAAATTAGTTTATTTGCATCAAGTTGGTCGACGTTTCATGTATTTTAAACTTGAGCTAAATTATTTTCTTGGGTTGAAGTTTAATAACCTCTAATAAACTACCTCACTGTTGAAGAGCAGGGCTATTCTTCCTTAGAAGGTAACAATTTCAAAATAGTGATATAAATATTACCCTGACAGCATGAAGTCGACTAGTGATTTTAATGACTGTTAGTTGGCAATTAATTTGAAAAGAAACTATTTTTTTTTTCAATTATATATGTTTTCCTATCTCCAATTCAGTCTTTTGTATGAAATGTCAATGAAAACTTGTGAAAATATCCATAAAGAACTCATAAATTGCATTACTGTTGATGACAGTTTAGTATTTGTGTCCAACACATTCAAAGAATTTAAAACAGACTATGAAAGAGTGACTGAAAGTTATTGCCTTTTACGTAACTATAATCTTTTACCTGACTTTAGCTCTAAAGATAATGGAGAAAAAAGCTCAGCAGCTTCTGAAAGACACAGAAATGATGGCAACAGAGCATTTGTTCAAAAGGATGACATGTCAGCCATGTATCATTATACTAGAGCAATTGGTTTTGCTTTACCTGGTGGGAAGGAAATTTCTATTGCATTTGCCAATCGTTCTGCTGTGACTTATTCCTTAGGAGACTTTACAGATGTAGTAAAGGATATTGACTGTGCTCTGCAAGGAGATTATCCTGACCGTTTGAAGTTTAAGTTGTGGGAACGTAGAGGAAAAGCCTTTTTGGAACTTGGAAATCTTTTAGAAGCACAAGCTTCTTTTGAGGTATGTTCTTGTTTTATTCTATTCTGATGATATTTCTCATTTACACAAGATAAAACTTTTAATAATAATGCGATGCTGCTTTTATCTAAATCTTGTTCCTGTACAAAATTTAATCCACAGACATCTTAGACATTGTGATTTTTTGTATTTTGATTATTAATATTTTCTGTTCATAGTAATAGAACTAATAAATATTATATATCTTGGCCATCTTGAGTAATAGCGCATGTGTGTTTTGGATTTGGATTTAACATCCTTATATATTCCAACTATGGCAGGTAGGATGTGTAATCGTACAGGTACAAAGCACAAAGCCAGCAAAATATTAATTAACTTTGCTGCATCTAAAGGCCACACAGTTGGAAGCACTTTTTCCCCACTCAAGAAAGCCCATAAGGGGACATGGTGTAAATGGACGTGTTACCATGTTACAGATTGATCATGTCCTTATAACAACCAGGCATTGGTTGTCTTGTCTACAGCGTTTTCATCCTACATATACACTGATATTGATTCCGACTATTATTTTGTAGCCAATGGAAGATGCCCATGATAAAATATAGTCTTCGGAATAAACACAAACACTTCAATGTACCCAAAATTAAATATCTCTGAAAAAAGTGTCAAATTTAATGAATCCCTAGAAGTCCAGATACAAAGAATTGATTCTGAAGAGAATATTGATGCTAGATGGCAATGCTGCAAGGAAACCATCACCGATTCAGCTGTGGAAGTACTAAGATTGGCTGCAGAAGATAAACGTAACCCTTGGTTTGACGAACAATGTAAAATTCTAAATGAAAGAAAAAAGCACATGCCTTCAAGGCAGAGGATGGTTCTCTTATAATTGATAGGGAGGCAGCATTGGATAGATCAGCCAGTTACTTCAGTACACTGTTAAACAGAGAGATATCAAGTGAATGCCTGGAGAACAGGACACTGAGTGGAGATCACATTGACCCTCTTGATGAAGTGGAGATCCACCAGGAAGCTTTGTCATAGCTCAAGAATAACAAGGCTCCAGACTTAGACAATATTCATGGCATGGTTGCCACTAAATTACCATGTTTTTTAAAGGATCTATTTCTGGACGTCTGGAATGAGTTAAGGCTGCCTTTGGAATAAAAGAAGACCATCATATTCTCTATTCACAAGCAGGGTAATACAATGCAAGATCTATAGAGAAATATTTCTTCTCCCTCTTATTTCAGAAACTACTCTCCTATGTGTAAGGGTAACCTATGCTGCGTGTGAACGTTTGGGTACCTCTCAAGAAACTTCAACACAAGGACAGAAGTCTGCCAGGATAATGGCTTGCCCTGTCTTTTATTTAACTTGGCTCTTGAGATACAGCTGTGAGGATCTCTAGAGCACTTCCAAACAAACTTATTATTTCTTGGAGATGTTTATGATCTTGACCTTGCTGGAAGGACACTGGAGGCAGTCAGGGAGGCTTTTGAAGCTCTGGAAGTTGCAGCAGCATGTATGGTCTTCTAATAAACAAAGTACATGTGTGTAAACCCAAAGTTTCCATGATATCTGGAAAGGCTTTGTTTGATTGGGTTAACAGAGGATAGAACTGTTATGAGGATTTGAGATATATACTGAGGTTTCCAAATGTGGCTGAACAAAAATATCAGAAAATTCCATGATACTGTGTAATGGAAATTATCAATAAGAAAATTTATATCGTGAATTGCATTCATTGATATAATAATCAAAGATTTTTATCTATTACTTTTTTTTTTTTTTTTTACAGCTGAATGATATATGTACAAGTTTCATTGTGTAATTTAAATGTCAAATTTAAGTTGGCTCTTGCTGCATACATGTAAATGGTTAGGAGTATAGAACTGCTGTAATGGTGGAAAAGTTATTTGTAACAGATTCAAGAGATTGGTCGCCTCTTTCACTAAGTACTCTTTCAGATAATCCCTGATAGTTTCGGCATTCTATAAACAATTGTGATCAAAGTGATTGTGAACAATACCTAATCCTTGCGGAACTTTTGCGATCTAGTACCGGGACCCTTATTAATTTACTTACAAAATTCATAAATCTTTTACATGGCCAAGAGTGAAACTTCAACATGATGACTGGACCAACATATATACTGGATCACACTGTATATGAAGTTCCAAATTGTTCTAATTGTCTGAATACTTTGAAACGCATAAAAGATTGTGCCAAGGGAGTTGATTGACATGTTTCTTATATTTAATATTGTCCTGAAATGCGCAGTTAGGAAATCACAAATACAGGTCGGGGGAACGGTTTTTAATTACTCTACAGCTGTTGGTTTGCCGGCGACATCGCTTTGGTTGGGAGATCAATAATAGCCATAAGGGAAGCCTTTACAGCCCTGCAAAGAGCTGCAGCAAGAGTTAACTCAAGTATAAATGCATGTAAAACTAAGTATATGTGGACCTAGGAGTGGGAATCCCAGAGAAACCTGCCTGGAAATTGGAGGCTTCAGGTTTTAATGTATCTCTGAGTTTGTAATCTTTGGCTCCCAGGTTAATATAAACAATGATATAATGAATGCAGAAATCCAGAGGCGTATCACGGTCCCAAATAGAGCCTATTTTAGCTTTTTAAAACACCTAATAAGCCGAATGATCTCACGTACAACTATGTTACACATATTTAAAATCCTAAATTGACCAATATTAACATACGGTTTAGAGAGTTGGACAGTGATCAGAACCAAAGAAACAGCCCTTCTCCGATTTGAACGTCGCATTCTAAGAAGAATATTGGTCCATTACTCAATGACAACCAAGCAAATACGAACAAAGAATGAGTTACAGGACCTATTCAAGATGTGAATGGTGTGAGAATAATAAGGATTGGTAGATTAAGATGTGCCCAACAAGTTCACCATATTCCTCCAGATCAGGTATTGAGAAAATTATCAAAAGAGCGAATTTACATAATAAGGCGGGTAGGCAGAACAAAATTTAGATGAGCTGATGGAGTGGAAGCAGATGCTCGAGCTATCCTTAGAGTCCATGATTGGAAGGCGGCTGCATTTTCAGAGATGACTGGCTGTTGGAGCTGTAGGAGGCCTGGAGCTGACTACATGAGTTGTGTTATGGAAGAAGAAGAAATTGTCTTAATATTTACAACTATATTCATGGGTATAACCTCACTTCACTTAATGTAAAATTTAATTCAACACAAATTAAGATTATTAGAGATTTGATTTTCAGCTTGCTCAGATGAAACGAACGACCTCTCAATGGCTCCCTCTATTCAATTAAGTTTGCAGCCTTTTTTTTTTTTTTGGGTCCTCCCCTTCCTCGCTGTTAAGGCTACACGGGTTTTCCCGGGCCAGGAAGTGTGGGCGGGGATTTAAAAGACTTCCACGACACCGGGACGCGAACTCGTGACTATTTTATATCATTTGATTGATATATCAGGTTGCTAGGCAACGGCGGTGCTGTGCACACGCGTTAGCCCATTCGGCTACCCCGCCCACAAGTTTGCAGCCTTACTGAGGGTATTGGTCACACATTGGGACACACTCAGTCATATTCGGAATTCCATCAGTGTGATAGATATGACGTTGGCATATCACATTTGTGTAACTCCCTTAACTGACTTGTGAAGTAGTACCTTTATTTATGATTACTGACATTTTTCTAGGGTACTTGGAATTTTTCTGTTATATTTTATATTATTTAACAAATACTTATGTATAATTTCATTTTTAGAGTGCTATTATTTGGCTTACGAAAAGTAAACTTGATGAGGATAAACGCAATGTTGCAAAAGCTCAATTGACATCTCTTCTTCAACAATCTTCTGGTGGTTGTTTTAAAACTGTTGATGTTCCAACTACAGTCTTACCACAGTTGACTCATGGTCCTAACCCTTATTTGCAAAGTGGATCTAATGCAATCGAAGTTGAGTACTCTTCTTATATGGGCCGGCATATTGTTGCAAAAGTTGATATTAATCCAGGTAACGTAATTAATTACTCATTCTGCCAACATATTTCTAATATAAGTGGTATAAACTTTATTTAAAAATATAAATTATATCAAATATATTTGCCTTGGTTTAAGACCAAAGTTAATTTGGTTATTTCAGGTGATGTACTTGCTGTGGAAAAACCTTATTCATCAATATCTTTACCTAGTAGTTATTTCTTTTTTTGTTTCTACTGTCATAAAAGATGTCATTCTTTGTTACCTTGTTTCCAGTGTACATTGGTAAGATCTTCAATATTCCTAAAGATTTTTTTAATTTCTTAGATGTCTATTTAAAAAATAATCAAAGTTGAAGTGTCCAGAGAACTCTCTTGTCATATATTCTTAGAAAAGAGTAATCATTAACCAAAAACAGAAAATACTCCATTATTAAAAATAGTTTCCTAAAAATTCTAATGTTATTCATTAAATTGGGAAATGAGATAACTCAGTAAATGAGACCCTATGCTCCTATTGACCCTGGGGTCAGGAACTCTCCTGGGGCACACAGCCACTATAAAGTGGTTACTCTTAATTTAGGGCAGGGTGGCCAAGTGGACTGCGTGTGTACAGCATACACATTAGGTGTGTTGCCTGGCATTCCGGATCAGAAATAATTACGAGTTCATGTCCGGGGAGAGGGGGAGGAGAGCGTTTTTAACTCTTGCTTTATTCCCTCGCCCTCACCCCCTATCTCGGGAACATACCATATAACTCAAAAGGCGAGGAAGGAGAGAACAAAAAAAAAAAATTATACTCTTAATTAATTGATTTAGAGAGAGGAAAACAGGTGTTTGAGTATGATCTTGCTCAACCATTAATCTCGAAACAGTTCTCCCTTATATAGTGCTGAACCCAAGAATCTTTATGGGTTTTAGTGGTATTGGTATTCATTTAATGATTCATAATGTAATATTGGGTATTCCTATAATTATTCATGTTATTATTTAGTATCTAATATCTCAATTCTTGCTTTATCTTTTTAATTTGACTTATTTACCAAACCATCACTATTGTACCCTCCAAATAAATCTTTGAGATGATCTGCTGGACCCTTCAAGTTTCTTTAATTTTTTTCTTTTATTAAATTTTTAAATATTTTTCCTCTATATATATCTACAGTATTTGTTTAACAGAAATAATTACTTTATTTTTTTTAATTAGAAGTGAACTTTAACTCAATTAATAAATTAGTAGAAATTTCCTGAGTAATTTAGGTTTAACAATTGCCTTTATATATTTTTAATCCAAATTCACTAAGCAATCTGGTTGATTACCTAACTTAACATTTGCCTGTTATGTTTATTCCTATCAATTCAAAATTAGAACTAGTTTGCTTTAAACTTAATAAATACAGTTTTTTAGATTATTCAAAATCTCATTTGCTTAGTGTGATTACTATTAATAGTCAATGGAAAGAATTTAAACGAAATCTGATTTTTTAAAGGAAGTAATTTTTTTTTTTTCAAATGTACATATTTTTTAAATTTCCAGTGAACAAATTTTGACAATTACAGGTTTTTTTTTGTGATGAAAAGTGTCGAAATGACTGTTGGGAAGAGAGTCACAGTATTGAATGCAATATATTACCATCCTTGTTAATGTTGGGATGTGATAAACTTGAACTACTTGCCTTAAGAGTTTTAATAAAAGCAACAGAGAAAGGAAGCAAACTCATTCAGCTGGCCACATCACTTAGTGAAATAGAGTCGTTTGATAAACCTAGTCGAAAGGGTTTTAATGACAGTGTTTATATTTCTGATAACTACAAATCCATTCATAATTTGGAAGGCAATACTGATTTAAGAAACATCAGTTATCTCTTTGGTAGATCAATATTTGCTGCTTGCATTTTACATATTCTGGACGTAAATACAAATTTTTTCCAAAAAGGTTTGATAGATAAGGTTTCTACCTTAAGAAAATTCCAAGAACTGGAAGACGTTGCAGATTTACGTTGGGATAAAGTTTTTACTGGTGGATTGATTTTGAAGTATCTCCAAAGTATGGCTAGTAATGCGCACGAAATCTCTGAAATGCGTGTTATACCTGGAAATGAAACTAAAACTGAGAGTTCTGAAATAGGGAGTGCTGCTTATTCCTTGTTAAGTCTCATCAACCATTCATGCGACCCCAATGTTGTCAGGCATAGTTACTTTGGATCGACAGTTGTTCTCAGAGCGATTCAAGTTATTAAAAAAGGTGAACAGGTGAGATAAGTAAAACAAAGAAATATTTTAAATGCTTTCTCATGTTTTTTTAAGCAAACATTTTAGCTTGTTGAGGCTTTGGGTATTACCAATTGTTTGACTGTATTGAATACTATTCCTATTTCGCTTTATATCCTTACTAAAATAATGCATGATTTTCTTCTTTACCAAAAATAAATTACTTGCCAAATACATAAAGTATTGTTTTTGCATGAACATAGTAAAAAACTTGTGTAGATAAAATTAATATTAATTATTTTTTATTACTCAGTTTCTTGTATTTGACTATGACTGGTATTTATTTAATAAACTTATTACTGAAAGAAGGGACTCCATACATGGACGCATAACTGAAATTTACTATCCATTTTAGGATTGTAATTTTCTTTGAGTTGTTTTGCTAATCGACTGTATTTCAAACACTGACTGAGTGCATATTTTTCTTAATGTTAAATGACAGGCTTTATTGAGAGGGAGAGTTGTAGTTTGGTAAGTGTCTCCAATGTCCATTCTGCTCGAATATTAACCTGAAATTAGTTACATAACTAAATCACGCATTTTATTTTCAGCACTGTGTTGGCCACATTGTCAACCAATCGTCCTATAAGGTCAAGAATTATTTACTTTTTCAAGAGCTGTTGTGGAAATAATCTTCCTTATTTGAGGAGAAGCCAATTAACATTTATTCTATTACTTTAGTTTTCATTAATTTTGGTCAGAACTTTTATTGAATCAACATTTCTTACATACGGACACAATGTTTAAATGTTTACCAATTTTGAAAAAAAAAAAAAAGAAGATAATTCTCAACTAATATTTAATGAATTTTAAAAAGTTTCTCGACTGACACATTAACTTAGCTTCACTTAAAAAAAAAAAAATTAAATATCAATACAAAGTAAATGAGGAGGAGCCATTTTTATCATTTATACTCTAAGGACAGAAAATGTCTGACTTTTCTGACTCCAATAAATGAGTAAAAAATACAGATAATCCTAAAAAGTTCAAAAGCTGCTGAAAAGTAACCCACTTCAATAATATTAGATAATATTTTATCTTAAATTGAATCATCCCTTTGTTCTATCATCTGAATAGTGGAATCTCAGTAATCCAAACTGGCAGGAAGTATGTACTTAACTACAATTTCTAGGACAAAGTTTTGGTTGAGAAACTTGGTTGTGTAAAAAGGCCTTTAGGTTAGACCACCGACCATCTTATAATGTGCCTCTCCTATCTGGCTCTCTTTCTTATCAAGAATAGGTGGGTTGGGTCTGTAATTGTCTTCCATCTGCACACAAATTCCTTGAAGTGTGGAAGTATTCTACAACTAGGGCATTGGGTATCGCTGTTATTTTCATGTTAAGCGAGCTTTCCTTGGAAGTCCCTATGCACAGTGTGTAGCTGTGATTCTGTGTTCACATTTTGGTATCAGATATAACCCATATTAACCAGGAACTAGTAGTGGGAAGATATTTCCTCAGTGTAGTGTAGTATCTTGGGATCTTCAGCCACTACCACTTCCATTAGTCAAGAGTTGATTCTCATAGGATCTTTTTCCATTTGTGGAGATCTTCATTGATTCTCAAATGGAGATACTTCAGTTAATCTGCCTACCATTCCCATCCCATCTGGTGCCTGAATGTGTATTCCTGAAAGAGGAAGTTGAGAGATACTCTTCCTGCTAGGAGCTGTGCCAGTTCATGTTTTCAAGTGAATATAAACATGTGAATCTATGTGATTAAAATGTATGTATATGCTGAGTTTTAATATTTTATTGTATGTACCTGAATATCCTCTATAAACTGAACTTTTCTATTGTCCCAACACCTCCCTGCACCAAAATGAATTCAGATTACTGAGCTTAGACTTAATTTATTTATATTTAGTTATTTTTCATAAAGGTATCAATAAACAACAAGTAAATACTTTTACACCTACTTTTAAATTAATTTTCTGTGCTTTGCAAATAATGTCGCTCACTTGAAATTGTTTTCAGATATTTGATAATTATGGATTCCACCATGCTACTCATTCGAAGGAGGAACGACATTCACATTTAAGATCTCAGTACCTCTTCACTTGCCAATGCATTGCTTGCACCGAAAATTGGCCTCTTTATGGGAATTTGCCAGATAGGAATCCAATTATTCGTGATCTGTAAGTTCACAACCACACACACAATGTATTTGTTGTCTTTATATGAATACCAACACTTAAACATTTTTTTGTAATGAATCATATTAACAACTCCCGATTCCTCCTCATTAGTGTACCACCTTTGGTTACAATGTATTTTATTGATCACTTTTTCATAATTGAGAGAATAAGGTTATAAGATCATTTGAAGTGTCATAAGAACACATAACTATTACTTAGATACCAAAATTACCAACTTTGTAATTTAGTTTTCATTCTTCAAGAGAAAATGAATGATGAAGATTGAATGGAAATTATTGTTAAAATGCTATATTATCAATAAATGACTATTTTCAAATAACCATGATTATATTTCTAAATAATTACTTATTTGATATTTTTTTAAAACAAAAATTATTTACAACTTGTTGAACAGCTATGCTGAACAGTATTACTGGTTGGGTATGGTGGGCACAATTTAATCCACAAGCATAGGTTAGAGACGGCTACCTTACAATGACTTTGGTTTATGATTTTCAATAATCAACCTCTGTAATTAACCAAGAAAAATGTTAACTCCCCTCAAAATTTGAGGTTGTATGTTTCAAGATATCTATAATCAGAAAATTGAATAAAAAAAAAATCTGTATGCTGTCTGTGGCTCTTCTCCGAGACTAGAGGACCGATTGTTTTGAGATTGATATCGTATCAATGTCAAAGGCACCCAAGATAATTTGGGAATTCGGCATTGCCATCTGCCCTTTCCTTTCATGATGGCAGCTGAAAAACCTGTGTCGCTATAAACTTTAGCACCTAAACTAATGAAACATGACTAAAGTCTCTTCCTTCAAAGCCCTTTAAAGTTATCTATATAACATACTTCATCGAAAAGAAGCTGGAAAAAAGTTAAAAGGGATGGTAAAATTAGATTTTCGAATAACTCAGAAATTTTAAATTTTTTTCTCCAGATTTTTTAAAGGTATTTAAATTTCCTAAAAAAAAAGAAAAAATTTTTTTTCAAAGAGTACTATTAGTGAAGATATCATGGTTTTTAAATATTATTGGTTTATTATTCTTAATAATCAACCTTTGAAATCGATCAAGAAAAAAAAGAGCTAACCACCCTCAAAAACTTGACTGAAATCTTCTCCTTGAAGCCCTTTAAATTTATATTTCATAATGCACCGAAAAGTACTTTCCTTTCAAGATGGCGGTTGAAATACCTGGGCAGTGTAAACCACAGGTGGGGAACAGTTTATCATCAGTAAGGTTAGGCAGTGGTGCTAATGGAAGCCGGTATAATGCTTTATATTTTACCGTTGCTATTTTTATTTATCTCTAAATACACATACCCACATTCATGCATTCAATTTAATTCTATTAATTCCCAAATTGTCGTTACTCAAATAATTAAATATTAATTAATTCTAGCACTAGATTAATTAATATCGCGCAAAAACGTTTGGTGGCCGTAACTATGTCACACAGGCCACAAGTGGCCTCTGGAGCCGCGGTACCCCACCTTTGGTATAGACAGCAGCCTCTCAATGAATGTACCGATTTTTTCATGTAGTTCATTCCAATTTGAAAATTTTGAACATTAGTCTTTTTTGTTGATATTTGTCTAGTTTTTATCTATTAAATATGGACTATGCAATTTTTATTTTAATCTAAAGAGATTAAAAAGATTCTTATTTGAATTTTTTAAGAATGATAGCTCTAAACATTCCTAGCAGCAGATTGTGATACTACAAAAACTCCACTTACCACATCAGTTTGATTTTTTATTTATTTTTTCCCTGTTGAGAGGCTTGTATTTCCCTAATAAATAAGGTTTTATCCTTCATGTACTACCTTTAGCAGTCTACTCTGAACATCGAAAAAGAAGCATAGATCAGAAAAACTTTAAGTTCACTAAACCTGATAATGGCTTATGTAATCCCCACATATATTATTACAGTAAGGCTCGAAATCGGTTTTGTACCAAATATAAGCTCCTGTCATGCTCAAATACCACAAATGGGGTACTGTTGGATTCAGAATTTCATGGAGATTTAGCGAATCATATTCTCCACTTTTGTTTTTATTTCTAAAATAAATAAATTCGATAAAATTTAAGTAGATAAAATTTTTCTAGGCTTCAATACTGGAATAGTGGTAAGTCTGTAGATCGATACGGGACAAATTGGGGTTTGAAGATTTTGATGTGTGCAGCAAGCCCAGATAGTTCCCTCGGAACTATTGGGCTCTGCGTTTTTTAATCCCAAAAATGTACTATCTTCGAAATAACGCAAAGCATAGGGTTTGCATCCACACAACCTTACATTAATTGTAGTACTGTCATTGAATACATGTCTCATTTTGTCGACTTGAGGCCCCTATGATCAAGAGAGGAGTTTATATCATTTATCGATGCTGTTTTTAATCGGCAAGCCACATCGTTAATTCTTCACCAAATCCCAAGATCGAGCCACCAATTTTGAAGACTTCTTTCTCCTTCAGGCAGGCAAAATAGTCCAATCACCCCGAAAATTCTGGCAAACAAGTTATGGAAGAAAATAAAATTTATTTGCGAATAATTAAAAAATTACACACTTTTTCCTTGGTTATGCCCATGACTATATAAATGATTACTAAATTCCCTATAAAAGGAAAAAAAATCATTGAAATCGGACAATTTTTAGGAAAGATACAGATACAGCTTAATGAAATTTGTTAACATTCTTGGTTCCAAACATTAATGAAGTTTTAAATTCATTTTTATTTCCTTTGTCTATTATATTTATCGATAAAGTAATAATTGATTTCTTTATCTTATGATACCTTGCATTATTTTATTTTCTTATTAATTTGGCATTTGATCACTTGACAATATGTTGTGCGGACTTTTCACATGGGCCTACTAGTGATATGATATTGTAATTGAAATTTGTTTTGAATGAAGTATGTATGTTTTCAGGGTTGATGTAGCTAGCCTCGAGGAGTCCTCCAAGAAGTTTAGGAATATATTGTATAACATCATTTCCAGCCATGATACGGAGAAGCTAGCTGAATGGTTGGTGTTCCTCTACTCTCACCTCAAACTATTACAGGCGAGCATAGCTAGGCCTTGGAAGGAGTACAGTGAATGCCAAGAAGCGATCAAGCAGTGCCTTTCTCTTCAGGCCAATCACTATGTTTACAAAACTTGTCCTTTATCCCTCATGATGATAAGAGATTATGACATCGGTGTATCTCCTTTTTAATTGATTTTATTAGTTCATTCGCTACGATGGCATAATCGTGATTTTATATTTGTATTTAACTTAACCTATAAGATTTTCTGTTTTTTATTTTTATTTTACTCTTATGTTTCAAACAACCAACCGTGACCAATGATGAATTATTCAAAGTGTAGTGCACTTCAAACGTATTTTGTTTATGAATAGTAAAATATAAGCGCAACATCTACAAGTACCTTTTCTGTTTAATTTTTATTACAAGGTATAGTTTAATTTTATTTGGTTATTATCCAGAGGCTAGTTTTTATTCAATTAATAAATAACATTAACAAACAAAATAAATGTTTTCTTAAGATGAGGAAGTAAAAAGATAATAATAAAAAAAAAACTTTTTTGTGTTGCTTTAGTATTATTTACCAAATATATTTCGATATTTAATTTGGTAAATATCAGCTTGTTAAAAGTATGTTTGTTAGTTAAAAGATTTTTTTTTTTTACATTAACCTGAGCTAAACAGAATAAACAATTAGTGTTTGCTCTGGTTGGTTCTGAATTGAGTCACATGAGTATCATAATTACTTTATTTATTTATTTTGAAATGAATTTTAATAAAAATATTTTTTTTTTATCAAAATATTCTATATACTTGGGCCTGAACCCATCAACAGCTTGTGGGTTGATCAACAGCTCTTATAATGGACTCCAAGCCTGGGAGTTAAGAGACAAGTACCATGCTACTCCTTTGAATTTATTCCTAAGTAAAGTTTATCTCTTGAGATACTTCTTTTTCTAAATGATCATGTCATTTAGTACTCCTTGTACTATATAATATTTTTGACTTAAACATTTTAAAATAAAATTTTCCATACTTGTATGGTTTTTTAGAATTTAAAAAACTAAAAAGTGGAATTTTCAGGTTAAATTTCCAACTTATTTTTTTATTGCTTAAAAAATAAAAATTGGGTTAATTAAAAGTTAAAATCTGTTCAGCTCAGCCTCTGGAGGTTTATTGTTAAATTGGATATATGAGATAAAATTCCTATTTGTCCTGAATCACAAAAGGAAACCTTGGGTTTTTACAATGATCAAGAAACTTTTTCAGTTTTGTCTATTTCTGCAAGAGTAATTAATCACACTTCAATTTCTTGTTTATTTAGAGTGGAATGTAGGAGAGATCTTTTACTAAACATTTTAATAAATAATTTTAAAAAACTTTGAAACAATCTGTTTTGCTTGATAACTTTATGCCACATTTCTAGTTTCTTTCTTAATCCTATCCTTCTGAAAAATTGTCTGCTGTTTGAGATATTATAATACTAATCATTTATTTTCTTATTTTGAAGGTGACTTTTTTAAACAGATGCTATCAAGTGGATAGATTCTTTCTAGAACCTTCTTCTTCGTTGAGCTATTGCTTACCACTATTGCATTCTTAGGGTTCCCTTGCTGAGCCTTGGCCATAAATCCCTCTCTACTGCCAATTCTTTTCTATAATCCATCTCCCTGCTTGCGAATTCTTCTTATATACCTATCTTCCTTTTGGTCTACCACCTTCCAACTGTGTCTCTTATTCTGCTCTGACTATTTTATTTTCATTCATCCTGATGACGTGGTCATACAATCATAGTTGATTCACCTCAATCACTGTTTTTATAGACTTTACATAGTGGTTGGTCTTTGTTGTGGTATTTCAGATTCGGTCTCATTCGAGCCAGATAGATTTTCTAGAACCACTCAGCCCTAAAATGAGTACCTGATATAAGTTAAATTACTTTTTTAAAGAGGTGGAGATTGAATAAGGCAGTGAAAAACAATTTTTTTTCACTATATGAAACGTACCTTTGTAACAACTTTTCAGTTAAATTTGTAGTAGTGTCAGAAACAGTATTTAATGAAATTGAATGCTTGATTCTCAGATAGCAGCTTGTGGTAATTAATTCTCTTCAATTCCTACCATAAATGTTCTGAGTTATAAGTCCGTCCTTAGAAGTGCTCAATGAAAGTTCATTCATCTTTTTTTCTTTCTGTTTTATTATATCTGCTTGTTTAACTATATTGTTTGGGTTTCATTAATCTGTTAGTAAATGAAACTTTTTGTTACATTTTATAAGGAATTTTCAAACTGAAATATTGTCTCTGTATCTTCAGACTGTCACCAACTTAACCATAGTTGTGTATATGATTAAAGACTTATCTGTTTTATCATCCAAGTAGTAGGTATAATGTGGATTTTTTCGACCAAAACTTCAAGTTGGCAAATGTATATTGGTGGTCTTGAAAATAAATATTCATATCTAAACTTGTGAGACCATCTCTTCTATACTTTTAGTATTCTCACTATCATAAATAAAATGTCTTGCCTGGTATTATATTCTTATTCTTTTTTTTTTTCTTTTTTTTTTAATATTGTTAAGTAACGGTATAATTTATTTTCTTGCACCTCACTTTAAGTGATTTTTCAAATGTCATCTGGCTTTGAGCTCTAAAGTGCTTGAAATAAAGCTTGCATGTTATATGTGATCCAGAGAAGGATTAGTATTAAACAAGGTTTTTATGTTTATTGATCTTGAACACATATGGCAGAAAATGTAGTCTTTACTTTCTGATTAAATTAATTCATGACTATCAAAGTAAAAGAAGAAAGATCTTAATGAGAATAGTTTGCATGCAGTATTGATACTGTATAAAATATTACTAGAACAAAGAAAATGTTCGTCAGGCAATGTGAAGAGCCATACATGAGTTGAGACAATTTTAGTAGGTATTTAATGGTTTAGTATTCTCATTAACCTTACACAATAAACTTTCTATGCCAGCAATAAAAGCATATCTATTTCTGAAATGACAGAGGAAATAAACTGCTTATCCAAAAACATTCAAATTGATGATTTTGTATAAAATAAATAGTAGATCTATTTTGAATCTCGACCTAGGTGCTATAACATTGTATAATTTTAAATTAAAACATAAGAAGGGTAGCAAATAGGTTGTTTTTCTAAACTAAAGAATATTTGTTCCTGCCATAAGATATTCCTAATTGTAGTAAAAAAAAAAAATGTATATATTATAATTAGAAAATAAGCCTTCAATATTTTTTGACTTTATATATGTAATATATACATACTAATTTATTGTCAATATAAATAAGTAGGAAATTAGTTTAAATATTTTATTTTATTGTACTTTATATACAATAATAAAAACAAAGTTGATGAAACAAGTGATTAGGAATAGAATAGACTAGCTCATATTTCAGGGGTGGGTAATTTTTTCTTATAAATCCATGATCATAAACGTGTTATGCAATCATTGTTTATTTTATCCTTAAAGGAAGTATGATTGTCACATTCGGATTATTATGACTCAGGTCATAATAATTTTCCCAAATAAAAAATATGGCCAATGACAATAATATAATTAATTGGTATTTTCATAAATTCATTTCTGTTATATGCAAGATAACTATGATTGCATATTTAAAACATATATGCCCTATTAATCCTCCAAATTTTATCAAGTAAATGATTCTTTTTTGGCCAAAAGGGTTAGTTAGAACAGACTACATAGCATGGTAATTATACATCTTAATAGTTTATCTGGAAGTTTCTACTTATTACAAGCAATCACGTTAACGCTTGGCTATTAAGTTATCATAAGTTTTATTTCATATATTTTTCCTATGGAAAGTATATTTAAATTTAGTTATTTTCCTCACTTGTTGGTTTCCTTCTTTGTATAGATCCTAGATCCAAAGATAAGGGTATTTCTATTATTGCTGATGCTGAATCATTTCTCATTGACTATATGTAACAATAATTACATCTTGGAATTGTAATGTCATTTCGCATATTACTTATCACATTTATTATCTTTTTAAATTTTAAGTGAGTTTTATAAAGAGGATTTGGAACTTCTTGCAAATTTTTTTTATTGGTCTTATTTCATTTTTAGAATTTTGCTAATATTGGATTTTGAATTATCATAAGTTTTATTATGGGTCATGAACCCATTAAGAAGTAGTGTGAAGTACTGACATTTGCCCACCCCTTCTCATTGTTCTTTTCTCAAACAAAAAGGACTTGCTTTTAACTGTCCATCAACTCTTGCTAAAAATTTGCTTCTACTTTGTTTAAAAATAAATATACATAGAATTCACATTGTAATATTTTTTTATAAATAATTAAAATATTACTAAGCAAATGAGAAGGTGCTAATAGTAATTAATAAATATTTTGCCATGTTTTAAAGATGTGAAATGTAACAAATTACATTTATTTTAATAGTTGATTATGTTATTTAGATTTATATGTTATATAATTTATGCAAACCAGTTACCACTGTTTAGATCTTTTATATTTAAATGAATGTTTAATTTTTATCTTGTTTGGTAGCAAAGTTATAATTTTTACTTAAAATTTATTGTCAATTTAAATTATTGTAACATTTAAAATTAAATAAAATTTATTTTGAATATACATTTATTTTCAGTACCAGGGAGGACAAACAAGAATCAGATTATAATAAATGTCAAACCATCAATATGTTATAGTTCCTCAGTCTTTTATCCTTTCCTGGTTAATCCGTTACAAGACAGAACTACTTTCATCCGAATTTAAAAAATATCTTTAACCTTTATATAATAATTTATCAGGTAATTAGATGAATGAAAAAACAAAAGCATTTAAAAATATATACACATAAGTACAGAATCACATTATTATAATAAAAAATCAGGTTAGTGTGTGCATCACACAACTTTCATTTATCACCCTACTTTGAGTAAAAATAGGTCTTTTCATAATTTTGGCTTATAACATCTAAGTCATTAGCACCCATTTAATAAAATAATATTACTATTAAAATATTTAGCTGGGAGGAACTGAATGTAAAAATGGTACAACATATTATTTAAAACAATTAATTACTATGTTTTTCTTGTCTAGTCTATTAAATTTAAGCGTTTTTAGTCATTAAAAATTTTCTTTTATGACTATATTTTAATTACTTACTTAATTATAATAAATAAGTAAGTGCCACGAATTTTTTTTTCAATCCAATAAGTGTCAGTAAGGTCTGATATTTATTTATATTTCATTGTGGATATTTTTTTTGTTTAATCATTGTTTTATATATATATATATATATATATATATATATATATATATATATATATATATACAAATTTTAATTTTTATATTTCCGTAATCTATACAGTTAAATAATACCAGCACTAGCATTTATGAAAATCGTACAAGCATAAGTAAATAATATAATCGGAACCCGCTCGTTCACTAAGCTTGAGAGCTTGCTCAGGTTTCTTCAGCAGTTCTAAACTCCTCATTATCCTATTGCCCTGAGCTAGCAAGAGTCTCAATTCTCAATCCCATCTCATATTCTCCTTTAGTTCATGACCAATTTTTTTCACTGTTTATATTCAATCATTTTTATTCATTATCTACAGTGTGAAATAGTTAATTTTTTAAAACAAACAAAATTGAAGGCACTGTAGATGAAGAAATTTTGAAAAATCGAAATTTACGCTCTGTTGGAGAACATCAATGAAGATAAAACCTATCTTATATTTTAAAAAAAAAACCTTAATGGTACATTAGCATAACGAGTTCAATCAAAATCATAGAAGCAATTTTTTGAGAAAATTGTAAAAATTGATGATATTAAGTGCCACTTCTGGTTTTAACAAGAGATGTAACATCCCAGCCATATTCAAACCTTAACTATCCAATTTCTTTCATTTCTGAGCTAGGCTATTCACAAATAGACCATTTTGTGAGATTTGGTTATTTAGACTCATGGGATCTCAAAATGTGTACATCCAATGAAAACTCAAATTCCAAAATTTTTACGATGGCAATACTTTCATTACTGTATTTCTACCTATATATTTCATATATCTTGTCTCGGTGCCGGGGGAACCTTTAACTCTGGCATTAATCCCTGGCTCAGGAAAATCCCATGTAGGTGAGGAAGAGAACAAAAAAAAGCATGTACTAAGTAGAAGGAGCGGGGTGGCCAAGCGGGCTAATAAATGCATGGGCACAACATGTCGCATTGCCTGGCAATCCAGATCATTGATTAGATAAAAATAATTACAGAATTCGTGTAGCAATGCCCGGGGCTCTGGCATTAATCCTCCGCTCCCATCAATCAACCTCCTGACGACCACTCTATATTATTTTGTAGTCAATAAGTTGTACTCGATTAAGAAATTATTATTAGATTATTGCTCGGAACCTAATCTTTACAAACCACTTATTTTCCTTTAAGAAATATTAAACTATACTTGACATGATTAGGATATTTTCAAATTGTAATTCTTTTATATCTTTCCATAAATATTAAAGTAAACAATGTTACTTATAAGTAAAGGTTAGGAAGAAAAAGATATTTTATATAAGTAGGAACTTTAATGGATGTAACAATTATTAAAAATCTATATACAATAACAATTAGTAATGCCTTAAACAAAAACGGGAACAGATTTATTGATCAATAAATTTAAATAAGGATTGTCTTCCTCCATAACTTTTGCTCTCATTTTTTCAATTTCAGCCATCAGTTCTTCTTGTGATAAGTTGTCTACAGGTAGCTGCTTACAGCTCTCCAAAATGTCTTTCATTTTTTCTTCCCCTTCCTAAAACAATATACCGTAAGAACAGTTATAGATAAATAGTTTCATAAATATTTATGAGGTTTAGTATGAAAAAAAAAAAAAAAATACTGTTAATGTTGTTTAGCATCACTTCATCAATTATTAGAATGATAATATTGAGGAGGAGCAAGAACTTCCATTTGTCAACTTGTATTTTATATGTAATGAAATAATAGAGGCCAATGTATGATCACCTTAATAGAAAACATCACCAAAAGGAAGTCCACAATTGACCTTGGAAAGGAACAGCCAAGGAATGAAGTGGGAGTTCTTGCTACTTACTTCTTATTGACAGTATACTCCAAAAGTGTGAAACATCTAATGCCAGACATAGTTCTGCTGTACTGCTACCCTCACTCTACAGTCCGGATTCTTAAGGCGCACCATCTATCACAGTCAACCTAGCACAATCTAGGTCTGCCAATACATTACTACATCAAAGGCATCACCCAATTTGTTCACAAAAATAACTTTAGATTGTTCTTCAAGAATAATAGAGAGGATAAGGGAATTCAGAATCAGCAGCCATCACATTTATATACAGATTTCAAGGCCATCTTTGACCACATTGCAAGAGATGAGCTCTACAAGGGAATGCTAGAGTTAGAGATTCCACTAAACTAATTCTCCTGGTCCATACAACAATAAAGCAGCAAGAATGTTTGTGTACAAGTTCAAACAAGTAGACTGCGTGGCATGCTTCCTTTTTTACTTTAGCCTGGGTCTTGCAGTGTGGAGATTCAACGTCTAAGTCAAAGAAACAGTGATTAACAAATCAGTTATCAACTTGTCTTTGCAGATGACGGAATAGATTTGATTGAGAGGACTTTTGGAGAGATGAGGGATGCTTTCTTGATCTATAAACAGAGATCCAAGAAGGGAATTCATGAATGAAACTAAGACTAAATAAATACATGACATTGAAAATTGAAGAATTTATCAATCTACCTTCAAACTCAGGTGAACTCCAGAGGCACCGTAAGAGCAAAAATGTAGTTAGGACTACCAAGGTGTGTTCATATAACAATTATCAGACTATCTTAGATTCAATATTCAAAATTAAAACTAAAAATTGAAATTAAGGACTGTAGACATAAATCCTAGCTCACCAATTGTTATGATTCTTCAGTGAAATCCTATGATACTAGTATTGAGATAAGAAAGGGGTCAAAATTTAAGAGAAGAGAGTAGGTAAAGAAAGAGCATGTTCTTTCTCTTAACGGGCTTTCAGAACACTAATCTGATCACAACCACCTACACTGATGGTGTATTAGTTTTTCATTCATCTTAGGATACAGAAATAATCCAATAATTATTACTATTAAATATAGACAATCGCCAAAATAAAACTTGGTACCCTAGCATTGCTATCTAAATGTACTACAAATTGTATCATTTACCTTAATAATTTTTCTTTTCTTGACATCGTTTTCAGCAGTAATGATGCTTTGATAGTCTTCTAACTCAGAGAGCTTTCTTTTAGCTTCCTAAAAGCATCAATATATATATATATATATATATATATATATATATATATATATATATATATATATATATATAATATATATATATATATATATATATATATATATTGTAAAATGAATTATTTTTAAATAGGATAATTTAAAATGCATTTTTTCCCCAATAGCATTATATATTTTAATATTGTGAAAACAAAATTTTGCTGCAGATAAAATTTATATATTAGTTATAGTTATATATACACTTGTATAGTCTATCAACATATGTTCAAGCATTGTATTAGTAATAATTTAAAATGGAATGTAGGAAAGAGGAATATCAATATATATATTGATATTCCTCTTTCCTACATTCCATTTTAAGCATGCCATATATATATATTTTTTAATAAATTACAACCTTACATACTTAAAAGCAGGAGTTGAAACTTTTTTAAAAAGTTCCATTTTAACAGTTCCTGTGAAACTTTATAGAAGAAAAATTCCACTTTAACAGTTTCAGTTAAAATTTTAAGGAAAAGTTTTAAAAATAAATGTTCTAAGGAACTTTTTGCAATAAAGTTCCAGGTTTATGTTAAAAGATGAACTTCTACTTATTCTGTTCTTAAAAAAAGTTATGTAAAATGAAAAAAAAAAGTGAAATGAATTACACATGATTCTTGAGTAGTTATGAAAAAAAGTTTTCTAAAAATAAAAGTTCTGTAAATCCTTCACTTGAAAAGATTCTAGGGAAAAAGTTCTAGTTCCACAAGAACTGAAAAACTCTCAAAAATAAAAATTTCAGTGGCAACGAAACTTTTAAAAGTAATTGATAAATTATTGAACAAGTTATAGCTAACTTTAATATTTCCATTTTTTTTATTATTCATTTTTGTAAAGCAGTTAAATAAAGATGTACATGGCTAATCAAAAGTAAGATAAGACTAAACAAGCCATCGATTACCTACCTCTACTACATGTTCAGGGAAACGAGCCATTACGGCCACATGAATGCCAAAACTCTGATCGCAAGCACCTGGCTTAACTTGATATAACAGTGTCAAGCCTGTCTCACAAGGAACTGCTGTCACATGAATATTCTTTAATGTTGAAATTTCGTCAGACAGTCGAGTCAACTCATGGAAATGAGTCGCGAATAAACAAAAAGCCTTGACCTCCTTGGCTAAATACCTAAAAAAAATAATAATAAAATAAGCAAATTTCCAAAAAGCATGGAAAATATCTTATACCTTGAACTTCACTCTCTTAGATAAACACAGATTCTTTCAAAACTATTTCAACTATATGTTGATTGTCTAAAACCTCATGTTCTTAATTGTTGGCTTACTACGACTAATACACATTTTTATTTGCCTCTTTGCGGTCAAGAATGTTTTTTAAGAGGCATTAACCTGGACATTGTCACAAGAGAAGTGTATCACTTCTTAGTCTGTGGGCCAGACCCCCTTACCGTGCACCCCCCCCCCACATCCCTATAAATTGCATATCGTTGTGTTCCTTGTAACTATTTATTAAAAAAAAGCCAATGTTCCCACAAAAAAAAGGTGAACGCACTGCCCCAAAAAGGCGTCCAAAGATGGCGGATTGACGACTTTGACTTTAGTTAGTTTTTTGGTCACTGAGAATCAGCATTTGGCTTAATTTCCTCATAGTTGGTCTTTTATTAAAGCTGAATAGTTATAGAATAATAAAACATGAAGAAATATTAAAAAATAAATGGCTTAGGCTATGAAAAACACCAGTAAAGTCAATTTTTTTAATAAAAAAATTTTCAAGTTACAAATCAAGCGTCGTTTGTAATTAAACGGCCTACAATAACGCAAAACGTGCTGAAATAAACCATCTGGAGAATATATTTCTCTTTCTAAAACGCTGATTATTTTTTACAAATATTTAAGCAGTTCCGTAAAAAATGCACTTATGCGGCAGAAAAGCGGTACTGGCGTGGGTGCCTACAGGCCTCTACCACACCATTCAGTGCCCATAAATGGCTTAGTTATAGTGATATAATAACATTTTTGGTACATTATATTGGTTTAATTAACGAACAAATATTAATGCAATAATTTAAATGTAAAAAAAAAAAAATTTTAAATTTATTATTATTTTTTTTAATTTAACCTCCTTTATTCTGTACGTTGGTCGTTTAAGAAGACCTCAATTGTAAAAATGATATAATTATAATAATAAAAATTAATTAAAAAATACTTTGCTAAATATCTTGATTTTTTTTTTTATTTAACGTTTGCAATTGAACACTGTGTTTTGTATATCTACTGATTCTTAGAAGTAATTAAAATGTTTATATACTTCCCAGGAAATGAGTCATATTAATAACTTTTTTATAAACTAAAATAATATATACCTAATCTGAACTATATATAATGAATAGCTACCGGGTTGTTTAGTAAAACTCATATATCACTAATTAAAAAATTAATTTTTATTTCCTTTATTTTGTGCAGAAGTTGGGCTATATCATAAATAAATAGGAAATTTTAATACTGAATGAATTATTCTCTATGCACAAAGAAAGATAGAAGGGGTGATGGTATAAGTTCTTCTATAAACCAAAACTGATTGTTTGGATTTGATCTCAAAATGAGGAAAAAGGTGTATAATACATTAAGGGAAAGAGAAAGGAAGTACTAAAACCTCGGAATAGATAAAAAGGACCAGTATCCATTATATAGCTAAATGAATGTATAGTAGAGAGAATATTTCAAGATGCTGCTAAAACGGGATCAATTGCAGTTTGGATGATATTAAGTGGACGATGTAGGTTTATTATGGTGAAAATAAATTGGTTTATAGAAGAACTTATACCATCACCCCTTCTATCTTTCTTTGTGCATAGAGAATAATTCATTCAGTATTAAAATTTCCTATTTATTTATGATATAGCCCAACTTCTGCACAAAATAAAGGAAATAAAAATTAATTTTTTAATTAGTGATATATGAGTTTTACTAAACAACCCGGTAGCTATTCATTATATATAGTTCAGATTAGGTATATATTATTTTAGTTTATAAAAAAGTTATTAATATGACTCATTTCCTGGGAAGTATATAAACATTTTAATTACTTCTAAGAATCAGTTAATATACAAAACACAGTGTTAAATTGCAAACTTTAAATTAAAAAAAATCAAGATATTTAGCAAAGTATTTAATTAGTTTTATTATTATAATTATATCATTTTTACAATTGAGGTCTTCTTAAACGACCAACGTACAGAATAAAGGAGGTTAAATTAAAAAAAATAATAATAAATTTAAAAAAATTTTTTTTTTTTTTTTTTACATTTAAATTATTGCATTAATATTTGTTCGTTAATTAAACCAATATAATGTACCAAAAATGTTATTATATCACTATAACTAAGCCATTTATGGGCACTGAATGGTGTGGTAGAGGCCTGTAGGCACCCACGCCAGTACCGCTTTTCTGCCGCATAAGTGCATTTTTTACGGAACTGCTTAAATATTTGTAAAAAATAATCAGCGTTTTAGAAAGAGAAATATATTCTCCAGATGGTTTATTTCAGCACGTTTTGCGTTATTGTAGGCCGTTTAATTACAAACGACGCTTGATTTGTAACTTGAAAATTTTTTTATTAAAAAAATTGACTTTACAGGTGTTTTTCATAGCCTAAGCCATTTATTTTTTAATATTTCTTCATGTTTTATTATTCTATAACTATTCAGCTTTAATAAAAGACCAACTATGAGGAAATTAAGCCAAATGCTGATTCTCAGTGACCAAAAAACTAACTAAAGTCAAAGTCGTCAATCCGCCATCTTTGGACGCCATTTTGGGGCAGTGCGTTCACCTTTTTTTTGTGGGAACATTGGCTTTTTTTTAATAAATAGTTACAAGGAACACAACGATATGCAATTTATAGGGATGTGGGGGGGGGGGGGTGCACGGTAATGGAGTCTGGCCCACCGTGTATCTTCTAATGGACAAGAGCCCTATTAGGTGTGTGACAGGATTGTATACAGGTCACTGTTGACTCAATAAGTACCCCTTTAATTTGGCCTTAAGTTAGACTCCCACCTGCAGGCCGTATGGCTAGGAGGACGAAACAGTCTATCACATTACTTGCAGATGTGATGATTTGGCTAGACTGCAATGCTTTCACTTTGGAAGTGATGTGATGTGAAGGCATCTGGCCTGTTTTAATAGAGCTTTAGGACACGACACACAATAGGTCTCTATGAAATGAGGACGTGGTGCATACAGTAGAAAAACACACACACAAAAAAAAGCATCATACTTATACAACACTGTCGGCCTCCTTATTTGGGTTGTCAAGAAAGAAAGACTTGAAAAGTTTGTTCCAAAATTTTTGATAGATAGATAGATAGAAAAATAATTTTATTCTGGGACACAGTCCCTTGAGAATAACAAAATAGAACAAAATTAAAAGATCACATCTGGCCAAAATAAAATCAATCGAAAAAAAGAAATAATGTAAAAAAATATAAGGTAAACATTCTATATAAAAAAAAATGAAACTATATACAAAACAATTAATACTATAACAAGGCACTTAAAGCTATTTGCACTAGTATACACTTTTAAGAAAATAATAAAGAATTAAAAAATAAAAATGTATCAATGAATCAATCAATGAATTTTTATGTATCAAATTCTCTATTAAAATCAGCTCGAATGGTTAGCAACTATCTGACTGTTCTTGGGATAGGAATTGGAATAGGAGGATTTTGAATTTGGATATGGATGGGGAATGTCGAATTTTGATAGGGAGGGAATTCCAGAAATTGACAGAGCGAACAACAAAGGAATTTTGGAATGAGGCAGATCTGTGAGAAGGCATGTAAAGATTAGAAGGTCGAGATCTTGTGGACAGGGAATGGACTGAGGATTTGAACTGGAGAAGATTGTAGGCGTAAGAAGGACGATGACTGTTGATGATTTGGTAGAGGAACGTGCCTAGGAAATATTGTCTTCGGAAGGAGGGGAAAAGCCACTTTAACTCAGCATAGTGGTGAGAAACATGGGAGTATCTTGGGGCCCCGATCACAAATCTTACACAGCTGTTCATTAGTCTTGGCAAATGCCCCCAGTAACTCAGGAGGGGAAAATGATAGGTAGATCTGTGAATCGTCTGCATAAAGGTGATGGGAACAATGGAGAATTGATTTAGGTAGGTCGTTAATGTAGGAGCTGAAAAGGAGAGGAGATATGCTTGAACCCTGGGCAACTCCAGAGGATAAAGAAAGGAAGGCAGATAGTGGTTGATTGGGTATGGAGACTGCTTGGGTACGTTGTGAGAGGAAAGATTGAAACCAAGAGATGGAACTATTGGAGAAGGATAATAATTTCAGTTTGTTGAAAAGGATGGAATGGTTAATGGAATCGAAGGCTTTGGAGAAGTCGAGAAGGATAAGGATGGTTAACTTTTTATCATCTATTGCAGTTTGAATGTCGTTGGTGATTTTAATTAAGGCGGATTGTGTGGAGTAGCTGGGACGGAAACCAGATTGGAGAGGATCAAGTTGGTTGGACTTTTCAAAGAAGTTGGAGACTTGGGATTGCACCAATCTTTCTAGGGGTTCCGAGAGGTTGGAAAAAATTGAGATTGGGCGGAAATCTTCGGGTGAGGTCGGATTAGAATTTTTATTTAAAGGAAGGACAATGGCTTGTTTCCAAGATGTAGGGAATACTGAATTCTGAAGGGAGAAATTGTAGATGAAAAGAAGGACTGGGAGGATTTCAGGAAGACATAATTTTATTAGTTTGACAGGGATGCCGTCCGGTCCTATGGAATTGGTGTGGGATTTCATTACAGCGGTTAAAAGGTCTGTAGGGGAAATGTCGGAAAAATAAAAGTTATTGTCGTTAAATGGTATCTCTATTGGGAAGTCGGAACAGGAGGATAAAGGAGAGCTATTAGCAACAGATATAAAATGCGAGTTTAGATCATCAGGGGATATTGGAAAGGCTGGAGTAGGGGATCGGGAAGGATCACAAAGGGAGAGTTTACGAAGCAGTCGCCATTTTGATTTTATGTCAGGAGTTGAGGAAAGGGCTTCGTGGAAGTAGAGGGACTTCGCACGCCGGATCCTTGTTTGTGTCAAGTTGCGAAGCACCCTGAACGCTTGGTAGTCATCTGCAAACCTAGTACGTCTGAAGCGTCTACGAGCAGCGTCGCGCCTCTTCTGCAGGTCTTTAATTTCCTGACACATCCAAGGAGCAGGCCGGTGACGAAATGTAGAGGTTTTGAGAGGGGCATGGGTATTGAGGATATTGGTAGTAAGAATATCGACCATAGAGTCGATAGAAGTGCAAGAATATATTTTATTCCAATCTAGGATTTCCAGGTCAGGTAATATTTGTTCTCGTGTAAGGGAATCTAGATGGCGGAAGGTGATAGTTCGAGGCTGAATAGGAGGAGTTTGGATATTATATGTTATTTGTATCAGATCGTGAGATGACAAAAAGGATACTGGCAGTTGTGAAGAGGAGAGGAGGTTTTGTGCACAGTCTATAATATAGAAATCTATCCAAGTGTCGGACCTGCTAGTATGGTGAGTGGGAGAAAAAGGAACGATAAAGAGGTGAAGGGAGAAGAATAGGTCTTCTAGATAGGATTTGTCATTGGAGTTAAATAGGAAATTGGTATTGAGGTCACCTGAGATGATTATTCTGGGATAGAGGGAAACGAAATTCAATAGGGTAGATTCAAAGGACGTGTGAAATGGAACAAGAGGAGGACGGTATACCACAGCGTAGAGGAGAGGAGAAGTATTACAAAGGATTTCAACTAATAGGTATTCAATTTGTGGGTGGTTGGAAGATGGGGATAAATCGAGTATTCGGGTCTTCAGGCTATTGTGGACATATATGGCTACTCCACCGCCAGTCCGGCTTACCCGGTCATGACGGAAGAGGTTGTAATTAGGCAGGGAGACAGAAGAGGATGGGATATAAGGTTTGAGCCAAGTTTCGGAGATAGCTATAATATGGTAAAAATTTTGAGTGAAATATTGCAGGAATTCGTCATAGTGCGCGGGGAGGGATTGAGAGTTAACATGGCAGGTGATTAGGGTACTAGACATGAGAAGTATTTGGAAGGAGACAGTCAGAGTTCAGTAGAGAAACACTAAAACAAATAAAAAATACAGAAAAGCTATTACAATTAATGAAAATGAGAAAAAAGAAAGTGTTTAAAGAAACAAAAAATAGAAAGCATATAGTAAATAATACATAGGCTAATATGTGGAAGTGAAGAAATACAACTAAAAGCGAAAATCTTTCTTCGAAGGGAATTTTGTCAGTAGTTATTTTGATAAGGATGGAGGGTAGACGAATTCTGTGTAGTCAGGTAAATATATCGAGGTCCGAGGCCTGTTCGATCATGATAACCTTATGCCCGTCCTCTTTTCGACATCGCACCTTTCCAGCGGCAAACCAGCAATATTTGATTTTCCCCGCTGCTTTCTTCTGTCGGGCAAGCCAGTATAAGTGCCTGTTCGTGTGAGTCATCTCCTCTCCCAGATATATCCGGTGGCAGTCATTCTCCTGCCAACCGATATCCCGCGTGGAGAAATCCCTCTTAACTTTTCTTTTCGATATTAAATCGTCTCTGACTGATTGCCTGACAAATCGCACGATGACAGACGGCGGTCGCGGGTCATCTTTCCTGCTTCTGCGGCGATGCACCACATCCAGATCTTCTGCACTAAGCTTGACTCCCAGGCTGGCTCCTACACTGGTCACCAGACCGGCGGGCGTATCACCAGATCGCTCCGGTATCCCTCGGATCTCCAGTGATCTGGATAACAGGCCCTGCTCTGCATTATTCAGGCGAACTTCTAGTTCGCCCACTCGGGATTTGAGGGCTTTATTTTCCAGAATAATTTCTTCGAATTTACTGGCTTGACTTTCGAGGTGTTTTTCAATTTTCGCTAATCTTTCATTTACCTCAAATCTGAGCTCCCCATATTTATCGAGGGCTGTTTTAATGTTTTTTACGTCTTCGTTCACGCTTGAATCTAGACGATTTACTGCCGCCAGTATTTCTGAGGCAGACGGCTCAGTGTTGGTTTTTTTGGCCTGGTCGCAATTAGGGCATACCCATGTTTTTTTGTGTGCTTTTAGTGCTTCGATGTCTTTATCAGATAAGTTGAAACACCTACTGTGGTAAATAATTTTACATTTTGCACAATTAATGTTGTTTTTGTCCTCGCGTGCAATAGTATTATTGCAAATATTACACTGCACCATATTTTATGAGAAGTAAACTAATTAAAATGTAAATAAATACCGGTAGACAGTTGTTGATGTGATGAAAGCAGTAAACAGCGTGCTTAATGCCGTAAGGATTAGTAAGAGATTACAGTCCCGCACTTCTAGGAAATCAGTTAGAGTTATGCACTTTTTTACGTAAATATACGTCACTTGAATCAGTGAACACTAATAAAGTTCTAGAATAAAAGAGAAAAAAACAAAAAAAAAAAAATCTGAACTCAACATAAACTGTAGTGTAGACTAAAATAAAGAAAAACTGTGTAGATATTTAGAGAGAGAATTATAGCGATGTTCATTGGTAGCTGTCTCTGGCCAGACTAATTTTCTTAATGTAGAATTAAATCTCATCAAATAAACTGTGTAATTAAAGTAGTAATATCTAATGTGATTTAAAGGTGGATATAGAGTGTCTGTGCATGCGACATAATAGATTCCATGAACAACCCATTCCACTAAACAATCTATGAAGATAGAAAAACTTAACAGGGACTTCAATTGATTATATTGAAAAAAACACTGAATGTTTTATCTTCGGCATGTATATAGCTCTGTGTCCCCGCTGACATCCGCACCCCGAGCAATATGCAATCAATGAAGTGGTCACCTGTTGGACCTGTTGCTCTCGCATGACCTGGTCACGGCATCCTAGCCTAGCTTCCTGTCTCCAAGTACCTCTGGAGTGCCTGCCAAACCATTTTCAAGTAGCCCATGGACTCAGGCCTCATTTAGCTGTCTTCGGCCATGCTCAATCAACACAGAAATCTGAGCGATTGCCACAGGAACCAAAACCATTTTACACTCAAAACCGATGAGATTGAACAAATAACTAGGGACAAACTTATATGAAGTCCATGTTTTATTTCAATACATTCATTCAATCCTACACAGAATCAGGAACTTTTCTTGAAAGGATTGATGCATGGTAATCCCTTATGATCTGTCATATACCTGTTATAACTTCAGGTTCAAAAATATTTCTTTGATCTGTGGTTTTTATAAAAAATTCAAGGTGCAACAGTTTTTTTGACCATATATATTTAAATGAAAAAATAAATAAAACTTACTCTGTGATGGCAACAGCAATTCCACATCCTTCATAGGTTGAAGTTCCTCGGCCAAGTTCATCAATAATGATTAACGAATCTTTTGTAGCAGACTAAAATGAGAAGAAAGACAGATTAAAACATTCAGATAATTACATAAATACTGGAATCATACATCATAATTTATTTTAAAAAAACAGATTAAACAATTTATAAAAGGTTTTAATAATCTCTGAATTAAGGAAAAACTTTATATTATCAATAAGAATAAAAAAAAGCTTGTGTCAACCATGCAGATGTCTGTCATTTAAAAAAAAAACAATTACACTGTCAGAAAGAAACTGATTTACTACTTTTTTTGGATTAATTAAAACTTGTTTAAATACATGAAAGTCTAACAAAATAAAAAATTACTTTGCATTTGGCTTACATCCTTGCATCATATTAATATATGTTCTGTCTTTTACTGGAAGAAAAGAGGACTACCTACCAATAACTGTTGGGATCTTGATAGATATAATGCTCATGCAGTGATTACTTCCAATACTAGAACTCATTATTTTTTTTTTTTTTCATAAAATAAGTTTTATAGTTGGTGTAATATAAATAATTTATTCAAATTTTTAAGCAAGTTGATTACTATATTACCTTAAGCTCTTTTTGTTTAATTTTGTCAAATAAATCTTTTAAATATTTGTAGGTTTAACCAAGTAGCTCCTCCTTTGTCAATACTGGACTACTAATGCTTTCTACTCTTTTTAATATAGTTCTGTAGTATCTTTTGTTTATTATTGTTTATCTAGTTTTAGATTCCTGGCTCATGTGGTCTCTTGCTAACAATAGTTGCTTTTAAAATAGAGTAAAAAAGTCGTGGATAAATAAAATTAAGCTTTGTCCCCTCACCATTTTAATCTTTCTGCCTTCATGTTGAGAGATATTGAGTGACTAGTTTTTTTTTTTACTAATTCTTCATTTTTATTTTTATTTCTTCATCCTATTTTTATAATTAAGTCCTTGATACTTAATAATCACCTATTCATGCTTTATTTCTAGAGTACCTTTTACACAGTTCAGTTACTTGTATGAACTCACTTTGGTTGAAAAACTTAACTGTATAAAAGCATTTTGTTGACTGGAGAACTAAATTGATCCAACATGATGGAAATTTATGAATAAACTACAGCAGTGCTCCTTGTGTTCAGGAAACATACTATTTTTGAATAGATTTTACAATATCTCTGGTGCTTGGTTATGCTGTTGATTAAGTCCTATTAAGCAAAGACACGGAAACTATAAAGCTAAATATGAAAATGTTAACAAAAGCTGGTAAACAATTGGAGCTTGAAATAAATACGGATAAGACAAAATACAAAGGTTAGCTGCAAAAACTATGACAATTTCGGTATATAGAAGGGAATATGTTTGAACACATAGAGAAGTTAAGGTATCTAGGGCCTATGATAACTAGAAAAAATAAAATTGAAAAGGAGATTAAGGTTAGATTGAAGACGGGAAATACTTATGATTTTCCTGTGACAAAACTACTTAACTTGAGTCTCCTGCCCCGAAACTTAATTTACAAAACCATTATTTTGCCTACGGTTATACGAATTATCTTTATGGATACGAATTGAGGATATTTACATTGAGGGATGAGTAACGTCTTAAGGCTTTTGAAAATAAAATATTGAGTAGAATACTTTAGTCTTAGCAACGGAAGAATAAAAGGTTAATAAATGCTATGCCTATTGGTAAAAGTGCGAGAGGTAGAACAAAGGGATATGGGAAGATTGGGTTAAGGCTGATCTGGCAGTGTTTGGATAGTGCTCGTTGGAGGGAGGTGTGTAGTTGACAGAGATTGGTGCTTTATCCTCATTATTATCCTCTTTATCCTTTATTATTATCCTCAGATTAAAAAATTCTCAAACTTGTCTAGACACCCTTTGTGCTATTCTGTCTATATCTGATGGTCTCCCTAGTTTCAAAGCAACAATTAATTCAGATACCTCCTCTCTAATGTAATTCTTCCATAAAGTTTACTTTCTCTGGATTCTTGCAGATCTCTAGTGTGTTATGTCCACCTTTCCTAGATATCCTTATTTTTTTTAGTACCACCCTAACCATATTCTTGATATGGCATTTTCTCTTAAGGAAAAGTACTTAGGGTTCTGTATAACAGTTCCTGGTTTCACTTGATGTTTTTCTCAGGAATCTTCCCAAGCTTACTTTTTTTTCTCTTGGTCTATTAACATATTCTTAGAGTAGATAAACTTATCTAACACCATTAGTCTCAGGAATTCAAGAAAAGGAAGTTTATTTTATTAATAGAAGCATATACACATGTATTATTCATATTATTATTATTATATTATATTATTATGTGTTATTCACATATACCTTTAATATACTAGCTGTTTCCACCATTTCAACCATGAAAGTAGACATTCCTTTAATCTGAGAATCATTTGCTCCAACACGTGCCAAAATAGAATCAACAATTGAAATTTCAGCTTCATCACATGGGACTAAACACCCAATCTGTGCCAAAAGGACGACTGTCCCAACACTACGAATATAGGTACTTTTTCCTCCCATATTTGGACCAGTAATAACATAAAAAGTACTTTCATCTGTAAAAAATAAAATAAGAAAAATTAAATACTGTTTTAAATCAGAGAATTTACAAATATTTAAACACAAGGCAAAACTTAATAAATAAATAAAATAAAATTTTATAAAAGTGTATGGACAAACTTTAAACATATTATGTCAATTAAAGAAGACTGTTTTTCCAACAGACGCTTATATGTTGTGTTATCTAGATCAAGTTGAGGAGAAAATGAGTATGTACGTCTACCATGTCAGGCATAGATAGGTGGCGATCCCATCATCCAGTCATACCACAATTAGGGATGGAACGTTTCGTGAAACGAATTCCACCACTGAAACTGTTCGGAATGGAATGAGACCCTCGAAAACTTCATTCTGGCGGAACGTAATCTAAGAATATAAACATCGTAAGGTTTCGTTGGATAAATATTCAACAGAAAAGTTAAATAGGTACAAAAGGGATTTTAAGCAATTAAGATAAGTGTGCTGATTGCTGCCAAAGTGGATTAATGGAATAGTCAAATAGGCTGTTTGCTTCAAAAGTGAACCATAACGACTACATTTAATTTAGTGTTTGAATAAATGTAAAGAAATATAATTAAATAAAATATAATAAGATTATAACCATAATTTTAAGATAGAAATTTGCAAATTTTAAAAATATTAATTATAATGCCAAGATTCAGACAAACTGCTAAAACAATAATAAACTAATTATAAACAATATTACATAAACATTTTAATCAAATTTTATTATTTTTAAGACCAATGATAGATATGTGGTTCTGTTGTGTAAATGAAATTTGCCATAGGAAATTTTATATCATTAGTTTATTTGGATTTAGAAAACCTAAAGGTGCGTATACACATTTCACAAACTATGGGAAACACAAACACAACACACAACAAACTGAACTAACAGCAAAATTATTCCTAAAACAAACTATTTATTTTATTTATCTTGATACAGACAGCAGATAAAAAAAATCAAAAACAAGAAACGAAAATACTTGCTTGGTGAAATAACCATTTGTATATTTGTTTGTCCCACAGTTTGTGAAATTTCTGAACGCACCCTAAGATTTCGCATTTTATTTTATTTTACTTTTTTTAGCTACCTATAAAAGTCATGAGAGATATCAATATTATTTAAACATTGTAAAAGTTAAAAAAAAATATTGATTTTAATTAAATTCTGACTTTTTTATTATTATTTTATTTTTTTGTAAGTCATATTACAACGGCAGAATGAAGAAGAAACAGAACTAACAGTATCGATAGTTGTAATAAAAATTTCTTCTCTGGAACGATTTTTCTCATTCTGAGTAGCCTTGAATTGCAGCCTAGAATGGTTTGGAATGATTAAAGTGTCTACATCTACTGTTATTTTTAGTTTAAATTATTAAGTCTTAAATTAATTAAATAGTGCGTATAATAAAAAAAAGCAAATTAGAAAACAAATAGATTTTTACTCATTAATACTTTTCTGTAACTTGGTCTAAGGGGATATTTAAGGAAAATTAAGACAAATGTATGAATTTTACCAACCAAAAAATAGTTTTATTTAAAAAATAAAGCTTAACAAACAAATCTATAACATAAAATTTAGATTGAATAAAAACTTTATATAAATTAATTCGAAAATTGGAAGTTCAAAACAACAATTTTTACTTTACCAGCTGATAGTCGAGTAAGACATTCGTTAATCAAAATGCCACTTTTGAAAAGATTCGTTGACATGGAACCGAAGTGGCATTTTTTTTGGAATGATTTGCAAATTAGGATAGTTGTTCTGCAGATCAAACCACCACTTAATAGGATTCTCGTTGCTGTATAAAATATCCTTTTCAAAGTACCTGTTTAATTCAATCATTGCTTTTGATTCAGGTGTCCCATTTGGAGAATATTACTCTCGAGCTCTCATCAATGTCCTAAAACTTCCAATTCGTTTTTCTTCATTTTTCTGTACTCCTCTCAGTTTATCTTTATTTTTTTCAGCGTCAATGATTTTTCAGTAGTTTTAAATAGTTTTAGTATTATGCATATTAGCTACATTATTCTCTATTGCAGTTCATGTGTTGTTCAGAACGAAGATGGAATGGAACGAGAACTGGAACGAATTCCAGGGGTGGAAAATTTTGTTCCGCTCTAACCTGAATTCGGAATGCCCATCCCTAATCACAATCAGCCAGTACACTGATTTAAATAAGAGAAAATTCTCTACTATTTATAAAAAAATTTATTCCAATTTAATTTTCTAGGCATATCATTCAGGTTCGGTGCCATTTTCTCATAAGTTTTTTAAAATATTAGGCCAAAGGTCACCAAAAAAGCCGAAACGTCGAATAAATAATACAGGATGTAAAAACTGTGTACATTTGGTGACCTTTGGCCTAATATTTTAAAAAACTTATATTCCAATTTTTTTTTTATTCATGAACTAAGAGCAAACATACTTTTTAAAATATATATATATATTCTTAAACAACATATCAATTTTATTTTCAGAGAAAGAAACATGATAATGTTCCAAAAGTATAGGATATATTTTTTTATAAATCATGGTTGATTAAAATTAAATTAAATATTTAATGCAAAGGCTACTAAAATCTACCATTGAAATCCACATCATTTGGGATGTAGGAAATGCTATCAAGCTGCTCCAAACAAGGATGCCTGGCTTGAATCAACCTAAGCACTCCAGATCCCTTTGGCTTCATCACCGGCTTGATGTACGGTTTAGGTGCAGAAGCAGAGATCACGGCCATACTGCACAGAACATCCAACTTAGCCAGTAAACAGCTGATCTCATGAAGAGTATTGGAATAACCCACTGCAACACAATAGAATATTGATTCATTATAACAGAACTAATAAGAAAATTAGAACAAAAACAGCTTTAAAAAAAAACAACACAACTTTCTATTTAGTTGGATCAGCAAGGATTGATTAGAAAAAACAATAGGGTATATTTCTAAATTCATACATAGAATTCAATAATTCATCCAACTTTACACATTTCCCAAACACCAAAAACACAAACTATGTTAACTATCATATTACTTCATAGTTTATATTTACCCATTTTTCAATAACACTAACAATGATAGATGGTTAATTATTCCACATAAACAAAATTTAAGATAATTAGGAGGAAAAATGTTTCAAAAAGTTTTGAATTTATTTCCTGTCAGGCTATTCAAATGAGATTAGGATTTATTTTTACAGATCTTAAAACAAATATTTCAATTGAAAACTCAATTCAAAATTTTTTCACAATTGCAACACTTTTTCTTATATAAATGTAAGCGAAAATAAAAATAAAAGTTATCATTTACCTGCTATAGCTATAACTTCACTGACAACTGACTGCTGATGCTTGGTATAAGAATCCCGAATTTCTGTATATTCATCATTTAAGTCATTTAATTTCTTACTTCTAAATCTCACACCAGCTTTGTTAGCATCAAGCTGAATATATTTTTTGTTATTACGAATCACTTTTTCATCCTGAAATTGTTAGTAAAATTAAGATAATAAATCAATTAAAAATATTCGTTATAATGAGATGTGCTAATACATAGAAAACAAAAATTGAATTTCAATTAAGGTGGGTCAAAAAATGTGACTATTTTATAGATTCATCTTAAGAATAATGAGTCAGAATTTACTTAAACATTTATAATTTTCTTACTTATTCATTATGAACTACACATAAACACATGAACTACACAGTGGTAGCAAAATTTGTTTCATCAAATTATAAAAAGGAGTTACTTGATATCTTATCACTTTCAATGCCAACAGAAAATATTTATATTCTTGATTACCAGTCAATAATGAATTAATTACTGGTGATGAAAAATGATAATTTAAAATAATTATATTTGACAGAAAAATAAGTAAAATACATTTAAAATTAAATTTTTGTTATAATTTATTTATTTTTTTAGTCATTCAATTTAAAAGGAATTGCTTTCAATTTAACAGCCATTGATTGAAATGAGAAATGGAGTATATGTACAGCTAGCACAAGCAGGGGATTATTTTTATATATAAGGATTAAATTTATCCACATACATTATTATTATAACTGCGCTACAACTCGGGGACGAGTCTTGGCCTCCTCCACCAGCTTCCACCAATCATCTCTGTTCTGTGCGGCCTTAGTTTGGTATCCTTCTTTTTCTTGTGACATAGAGAAGTTCTGTCAGGATCATCATAGGGGGGGGAGGAAGGGGGTGCCCATCTCAATCTTCCAAGCTTCATCCTCAGAACGACATCTTGACCATTAAAAGTTGAGCGAATTTTGGCATTTGTCCGTCTTCTCCAATTTCCATCAATCTGTACTCCTCCAAATATTCTTCGAAGAATTTTTCTCTCAAAGATTAGGTCTTGTTCAATTTTTTTAGTTGTCGTCTATGTTTCTTAAGCATAGAGCAGAACTGGATGGATTGGTGTTTTATAGACATGTAGCTTGTTACACCAGAATAGAAGGCAAGAGGTGAATTCCTAGCGAAGGGTAACACTTGTTAGCCATAAATATTCTTTTCTTGACCTCGACCTCGGGTGCATTGTCTTGTGTTACCCGAGACCCTAAATACTTAAACTGCGTTATTTTCTCAAAGTTAAAGGGGCCAATATTGATGGTTTGAGGGACTTCTTCTGTGGCCATATATTTAGTTTTGCCTTCATTCACTTCTAACCCAAGTGCTCTGGTGGCCTCCAACAAAGCTAAAAATCTCTCTCTTACAGACTGCAATGATCGCCCTACGATGTCCACATCATCTGCATAAGCTAATAGCTGAACCATTCAGTTGTAAATTGGCCCATTAGTTTGCAGATCATAATCCCTCAATGCCTTCTTAAGTGGCAAGTTAAACAGAAGGCATGCTAACGCATCACCTTGGCAAAGTCCTTTTGTTGAGGAGAACTCTTCTGTCCTTTGACCACCAACCTGCACAGTACACTTTACATTTCTCGTTGTCAGCTTTACCAGTCGTATTAGCTTATCTGGGATATTGAAACCTTCAAGTGGGAAGTACAGTTCTTCCCGGTTAATACTATCGTAAGCTGCCTTAAAGTCAACGAAAAGATGGTCGGTGTTTTAATCTGATGTTCATTTCCTCTTTCTAGGATTGTTCTGAGGCAGAATATTTGGTCAGTCGTAGATCTTCCTTGTCTAAATCCACATTGGGAGGGACCAAGCTTCTGCTCTGCAAATTGCCTGCATTGCGGTCACACAGCTGGACCAGAGGGATTCTATGTTTTCTGTATTTACAACCTGAGCACGGAGGTTCCCATCTAGTTGCTCAGCGTACAGCTGTTTGGCATGAGGCTCCTGTAGCTTTCCAAGATTATAGTGCTTAGGTTTTATAGCTGGGCCTCCCAACCTTTTGAAGGAGATACTAGGAGTAATGTCGGCAATGTACAAAAAGTGGTCAGAATCCACAGGCTAAAAGCCAATGACCAGTTGCCTATATTGCCCTCTAACAACAAATCTTACTCCATATTCATGGAAGGTATCGCTGCAGCTATAATATATGGTGTATCGTCTATTTTCAAGAGTATTCTGGCCAATCCATCTGATGTCTTGAACGGCAAATATGCCTAGTTTGAAATGGTCAATTTGATCAAGGAGCAGTTTCAATGCTCTGGGTCTGTAGAGTGAAAGAATGTTCCGGTATCCGAGATTAAATTAAAATCAAAATTAAATAAAATTAAGTCTTATAGAGGTTGCTGGGTTGTTTCCGTTTGTGACAATCGATATCAGAGGCTGATTTTGGTTTCGGCGAAATATATAAGCTTCAGATAGGAGGGCTTCTAAGCCTCACTCCATAACCTAGTATACTGGTAGGATTGCCAGGCTATTGAGGCTACTACCTAGAGGAGGTGACCCTAGGGTGTGTAATGTATGTGACCTTAGTATATAGTGTGGGAGTGAGTGTAGTGTGCTGTAATTAGTATAGATGTGCGAGTGTCAGTGTACTGTTCCCCTGACCTGGAGGGCCAGTGGCTATTTGCGATTCTATGAACGAGCGAGAGAGCCGCCATCCCCCAACGCCTTAATCCACGTACATACATTTTTAAATTATATATTTACATTCCGAAATTCATTTTAATGCAATTGAATTCCAAGATTATTTCATTTCCTATCATTGGCCCAATATTCAGAGTTCAATGCATCAAGCCAATAACAGCCTTAAATAAAAGATGTGTTGCTTAATGAGTTGAGCAAATGTTTACTTTATAATTTTTTTGTATGTTTGATGTAAATTTTTATGACAGTTTCGTTGAATTTATAATAATTGTACATCATAATAAAATTTCTTGGCATTTTACGACAAATTATAAATTATAAAAATACCTTTAATGTAACCCTAAAGAAGTACCCATACTGGGAATTGGAATCAATTTTCACCGATTTCCCAGCTTCTAGTGAGAGATCATCCGCAACATAATTCAATTCTTTCTTCATTTTGTTCTCTAATAATTCCATTTTTTCTCGTAAGTCTGAAATCAAAAGGAAATACAGTTGACCCGGCTTAATCTTGATATAAGGTGAAAATCACTTTATTAAGTACTTTTCCATGATAAAAACAAAATTATGAAATAAGTCAGGGCAGAAAAATCAAGGCCTTATTACCTACTGAGCTTTTAAGAAATTTAAACACCTTAAGAATAAGAGTTTTCTTTACTGCATAGTATGTGATATCTTCCCAGGATCTAAGCATCTCCAGAAAAAAAAATCTTAACAAAATTAAAAACATCCGGTGGTGCCTGGCAATCATCAGAAATTTTGGCCAGCCCAGGAACTAAGAGTAATTTTATATTTATATTAAAACTTTTATTTTTCTGAGGAATTATACAAAAATATCAAATAAATAAAACTTTGTATGGTCATTGCTAAAATGCCTAAGTGAAACTATGAATTCTGGTTTTATTTGATATCCACAAAAACCAAATGTAATTGGAAGAATCGGAAAAAAAAAATAGTGAAATAAAGGAGAAATAAATATCTTGCCAACAAAACAAAGTTAATTTTAATAAATTACAATATAACAATAACGTTTTAGTTCTTTTTGAAAAAAATTATTACATTTGTTAAAAGCTTTTATGAGTGATCAAAGTTGTCTTTGGAACCTTTCAAGTTGGCCTCAATCATAATGTAAGGTTAAAAAGTTGGTAAAGAACTTGAGATTAAACATGAATGTTTAAAAACTGCAAGATTGTTTCACTTGGGAATATAATGTATATGATAAAAAATATTAATACCTTTAAGATCTTCATCAAATTCTGCTTTAATGAGATACTCTCCATTGTCAACAAGTGTAAGATCTATTGTAGAACAAATCATTTCTTGGAATTTATCCATATCATTGAGATTTTCTTTCAAAGGATCAATAATTACCGCTTTTAAAGTACAATGTGGTCCATCCTCTGAATAACTTTCTAATGTATTTACCAAGGAAGGCAGTTTCTCGATACCTTGATAAATTCTGTGACAACAAATTAAAAGTTAGTATATAATTTTTTTAAAACTATAAATCTTTATAGCTTTTTACATAAATGTTTAGATTTTCATGGCATATTTAACTTATTGCTATCAAAATTGCTACATTTTAAATAAATCAAATTTAAAACTTTAACTAAATGGCGTCAAGGAGCGGAGGGAGGTACCACCTTCTTCAGGGTTGACTTGCAGATTGGTCTTCTTTTTGTACCAGGGGAATAGCTGAGAGCACTAGCGGATACAGGATTTAATTTTTTTTTTGGGGGGGAGGGGAGGGGCTTCAATCCGAAAGATATTTTTTATATACATATAACGATAATTAATTTGAAAAAAAAGAAAGAAATTAACTACTTATATGAGATAGTGTTTAAGCTGTTCTTGAAGTCCTATTAAATATAATTAAACAAACAAGAATACTTTAAGAGACAGTTTTAAATATTTTTTTCTGTAAAACATGGTTATATTAAACCAATCAGGCTTCAGCCCGAAAGTCACTTCCCCTCCCTGAGATCCGCCTATGGCTGAGAGGCCTGCGAACCATACAAGGGAGGTCAAGGGAGGACGCTATAAGCTCATGACCATCCGTGAGTGGTGTAGAACCATATCCTGCCTGAGGAGACCCTGCATTAATAGAACACAGCGGATCAAGACTGGGAGGTTGATAACATCTCTGGTATGAGCCAGCATGGATCTATGATTGGATATCATCAGGCGGAGCTAGAGACCAACAGAAAGGCTGATGAACTGCGAGAGGCAGATAGGCCTTAGCTGTAGTGAAGGCAACCTAATTAAGGATCCTGGCACCTGATCCAAGCTAGGAATCAGTTGTTCTGAGGTAACGGAACCTCTCGGCTTGGGCCAATCACCCGCATGGGAGTACAGACGATTCAGAGTAACATAGTGAAAAGCTTCGGAAATGAAAGGATTAGACGGAAACAACCTGGATGGATAAGGATATACGACTAGGCACCTGGAACGATTGTGCTATCAGGTAGTGTTATTTAGATTGTTATGTAACTAAAAAAAAATTAGCATATAGTTGAAAATTAAAATAATAAATATTATTTATATTAATTTAAAACATTTATTTTTAATAATAATCATAATTAATAACGTATAATAAACATAACTTTAATTCAATAACATAAACATGATAATAAAATTTTATGAATATAACCAAAATAAATTTCCATTTATGCTTTAGTTCGCACCCACCCGATAGATTGAAACAGTAATTACAGTGTTGGCTTGAGCATCTTTTACTGCAGATATGAAATAAATTTTGTTCTTATGTACAGCTGTAAAAACTTGTTCTTACAACAAGAAATAGTAAAAATACTGCATAAAAAGTGAAGTGTAGAAAAAATATTTTAACTTTCCTAATTTAGGAGCAGGAATTCTTGAATAAAAACAGTTAATTCATTATTTTTTTTAAATAAGGCTTAGAGCAGTATTTCAAATATAGAGATGCAATTCATTATTTTTGGTAGAATTATTAATGATGGAATTTAATATTATGGAATGTTTATACAACAGGTAAGTCATTACATTAAAGAAAAACATATATAAATTTGGTATTATGGTACATTTCTGAGTCAAAACTGTTCATTACCTGTAACAATCCTGCAATGTAGCTCTCTTTTTCAGTAACTTTTTGGAGAGCAGCTGAAAATCTGGAATTTTTATGAGATGTTCTTCATAGAGAGCTTGACGGAGCACTGTCTCATTGACTAATAGTTCAACTATATCATGTCGCTCAGATATTAAATTTAAATCCTTTAAAGGTTGCTTTATCCACTGCCCAATCAACCTGGAAAAAAAGTTCTATTAAAATGAGCAAAAATAATAATTATTCAGATTTCATTAAATGTCATGGCAGCAAAGGCACTTTATTAATCAAACACCAAAAATTTCATTTAATAATTCAAAAAATGTGTATTCAACAATGTTAACTGAAAAGTAATAAACAACATATTTATTTTTAAGTAATAAAAATAAGTTTAAAGAATTATAATTTTTTTAACATTAAGTGTAATATTATAGGAGTTTTATACTTCCAAAGAGTCTAGGAGATTCTACATAAGAAAAATATATGCAATGAAGCTTCTAGAACTATCTCAGTATAATCCTTGACCCTACAATAGAGGGATTTCATAGACATCAGAAGTTATTTGTGATGGAGAACTCTCATGAGATGAACAAACCAATAACTATCTATTGGTAATCTTTCACAGTAAATAAAGTTGTTTGCAAACAGCATTGAATAATTTTTTCAAAAAGTGAATTTATTTAGTGCATATTTATCACCACGTTACTATTTCCATAGTTTTGGAATATTGCAAATACTGTGATTTATTAGTTTTAATACACCTTATAAAAAATATACACACACTAATGCAAGTGAAACAAACCACTTTTCTGTTTTCTCACATTTTAAAATAAGGAGAATTATTTCCTTCTCCATACTTTCCATATGGACTCAATAGGATGAGTAAATTCTATTTGTAGTTTTGGGCTTCATTAAACCACCCCTTCCCATGTTTTATCTCTGAAGAATGCTGTTCATGAATCCAATTATATCTTGGTCATAAATTAAAGGCTATCCTCACTCCTACATTTTATTTCTCTTCATCTGCATAGCCACTGATTACTGCTCAAGATATAACTACTCTTTTCTTCAGCTCTATGCCAGGACAGAAGTTGCTGTTTTTCAATAGTTCTGTCAAAAAGCTATATATAATTCTTCAGTTTGCATGGAGTAAGTAGTGGTATTAAGGTCTAATCTGCAGAAGCATCTCAGTCTCTAAAATGCTCTTGGAGAGAGGTGCATTAATGTTAATATGTATTAAAATTGATATCGCTATGTATTAAAATTATGCCTAATTATATTAATAGTATACCCTAATTGTTGCAGAATTTCACAGCAATGTTTTAATTTCAGGGATGCTTCAGTTTCCTCTAATATAACCAAAAAGTTTCCCAATAAGAATACAAAAGCTAATGAAAATAACAAAATATGAAACTAATTCTAAAAATATAAAACATGAAAATGAGGAACTAAAATAGTTTTGAATGAAATGTATAATTAGTACCTGTGGCCATGTGAGGTTCTGCACTTATCAAGTAGGGCCAGTATGGTATGACTTGAGCTCTGAGGAGCAGCACTGTTACCTGTAATGTTAAGGGCGCTCATTGCAGCTGAATCAAGGTGAACAAACTGGTCATGTTCTAAGGTCTTCATCACAAACTGGCCAAAGCTATCAGCATCAGATAAGAGCTGAAAGGATGTACTGAATTAAACTATAATAAAATTAAATATAAAAAAAGGAAATTAGGGATGTTTAACAAAAAATAAATAAATAACAAAGGGTTGACCACCATACACCTCTCTCTGTATATTAAAATTAGGAACAAAAAAACAACATAATAAGTTCTGCAAACCTAGAAATAGAAGTTGAAAATGTAAAAATTATTACCTCTAAATATTTGATTGCAGCTCCTAAACTAGAAGTTGCAACAGTTAAATTCATTTGGGGAATAGCATTTGCATTTTGCTGTTGACCTTTTTCAAACTTTATCAACCGATTAAGATCTTGAACAAGACCATCAGTGGAAAAATCTACTTTCTTTCTACCAGTTACCAGCACTCCACATCTTTCAGCAACCTTAAATATATATAATAATAATAATAATCATAGATTATATATACAATTCATTTCAAGGTTAATTTATTATAATTGTTTAAAGTTCTCTTGAAATTGAGCCAACAGAGGTCAATAATAATTCTTTAATCGTATCTGATCTAATGAAAGATTTCATCACAACCACCAACTATTCATTAATATTGGTTCAATAAGTTATTACTGAAGAGTTTGGTACAAAAAAGAAATATCTCCATCGAGAGAAAGTTCGGATTTACTTATTTTGTGGTAAAAAAAGTAATTATTTTGTTTACTAAATTTTTTTGTTCTTCTCTTACCTTTTAGGGCTATGCAGGGTTATATAAAAGGTAGCTAATGTGCTACATTATCTGAAAGTTATATTTTTGACTAGAAATATGTCTTAATACATAGGAACAATAAAAAATTTATTTGAAAAAATGGTACATATAAAAAATTAAAAATAAAGACATGATTTTACTTACAAATTTATTTAATCAAGCAACATATGAAACTTAGAAACCAACGAACTAATATAAATTAATTTTGGACACATCCTAATTATTGCCAGAAGCCTAGTAGGTGCTCGGTGCTTTGAATCCAGCCTGGGTATAAACAAAAATTCTAGTGGTAGGTTTATCTTTCTTTTTAGCTTTATTTTCTAGCGAGGCAAAAAAAGAAATTCTAAAAACTTCAACGGCTGATTGTTTTTCAAGGAATTCATGGTCATTAGACAGAATGTATCCCGTTAAGGATTTGTATAGCAAAGCTTTGCTTGAGAAACTTGATCGTCAAACAAGCTTTACAGAAACAGCTTTTAGTCAATTTTGAAGAAAAATCTGCAGTTACGTCTCACCTAACATCAATACATAATTTCAGTTTCATACCACTTCATGAGTTAGGTTGTTCATACACACCCAAAAACACATAAAAATGCATGCAGAGCTCTTTTAGTTACAATTATGCTACAGTTGAACATTCATTATTTTTAAAATGCTTACTTTTTTAATATTTTCAAATTCCAGTGACGAATCAGATGGTATAATACATTCTTTAGCCCCAAACTGCACAATGATTCCTTCCAAATTTGTAAAATGTTCATCATCTGTGAATTCGGCAAGTGAAAAGGTATGTTCAACCATGTCAACAAGACAAATACCAACCACCTGAAATAAAAATTGCAGTAACAATTCAACAAAAACCATTTAATTGAACTCAATCATGAAAATATGGCTAGTAATAAAAGTACTAACTTTATTTTTGGAGTCATATTTAACACTGAGGACTGCAGCTCCATCAATTTGTTCAATATTAGAGAACAGTAACTCTTCGAACTGGGCAAGGTTACCTGGAGATCCCTGAAAATCATATATTCAGATAAATTTAATTCTCATTTTAAGAGCTAAAATTTTATTAGAAATTATTTTATCATTTATATTAAAGTTTATAATAATAAAACCATTTTTGCATTACTTCATACTAACTCATGACTCAAGTTATTAGAGGTTATTATCACTCGTTTTACCAACCTATAAACATTGTTTGAAATATTTTGAGCCCTTCAATGAAAAAAGTAAAGTAAATTAGTTTTTAAACAATTCGACTCATTGTCAAGTTTAAAAATAATTAAATAAGTTTTTGTTTGATTTGGAAATTTAATTTAGTATCCACGGAGGTATTTGGTTTCAATTAGATATCAGTTTCCAGCAGTTACTATTAATAATAAATTTGTCACTCTCCAGCACTTTCTATGACTTTATATGTTACATATTAATTTTCTTTAGCTTTAGCTTTCCAAAGATATATAACTTCTACTCTTATTTCCAGAAATTTGTTTTCAATCTAAGAAAATGTATTTCCTTCAATTAATTATCAAAGTCTTCCATAGTTGAAATTTTGCTGCTGCTTATTATTTCTAACCATTGTTAATTTATTCAAATTTACCACATTAAAAGTGCGTTAGAGGAAGCCACTTTGAAAAATCGGCATTTCAGTCCAGTTAGACTATTTCATTTAGGTTAAGACCTACCTGACATTAAAAAACACTTCATTGTACATTGGCATGAGTTTAATCAACATTATTTTGAGTAAATTGTAAGATTTGTGATATATACGGAACTTCTGGTTAGCTGTTTTTAGAAGAAAAGTTGAAATATTCCAACCAAATTTATTTTTCTGTTGGCATAACAGACTTTTTAGATCTTATGTCCCCTTAAATAGCCTTCTCCATCTCTGCCTATCTTGGGATACTTCTTTCCAGTTCTGCAAAAAGCTCTATTACATCTGAGGATTTGAACTATCCATTTGGTCTTTGGCCTAATATTGAAGCATTCATTGTTGTATAGAGGCTTCCTTAGAAATTTTTACAATCACAATACTTTCTCTTACTATATTTTTCATATCAACAGCCACATTGCAAAAGCATATGAGTTTAAAAACTAAAATTATTCATAAGACAAAATAAAACACATATTCTTTATTTTATGAACTAGTTTTTCCATTCAATTTTTACTGCAATTGAAATGACAAAGATGTAATGTTTTAAATAACATTTTTAGTTTGTATTTCTAGATATACAAAAAGCCAAAATTGACCACAAAATTCAAAACAGTACTTGTTAATTAAATTGTAATTAAAGCTTTTGCAATAAGGTTGTTGATATATAGTCAAGTGAAAATAAATTGACGATAAAATCATTGTAATGAAGTTAAAGCATCAGATAAATTTTACCTTATACTCTAAGGTCCAAGATGTAGGGCCTTTATTTCCTTTGTTAGTATAAACTTCAACTCTATACTGCTTGACCAATAGCAAGTCTCTGATTAGTGATTCGAATTGTGATTTATTTAAATTTAAAGATTCCAATGTCTCATTACCTAAAAAAAAAAAATATTTTAGTTTGACACTATTGGAAAAATATAATACAGTTAAAAGATTTTATGCACTTATTCCACCTCACTACAATTATTTCATTAAAGAGAAGTCTTAACGTATGAATGAACAAACCCACAATAATTATGAAATTTTAAATATTTTTTTAAAAGTTATTTATTAAATCACATTAAGAAACGCTGACTCGTATCACATGCAATATCAATTTGTGGGTTAAATTATTAAAATATGAGTGAATAAAGTATGTAAGGTGAATTGCCCAAAAGGGTTAATGGTTTTCATTTTTTAAATTGACCTTAAAAAAATTTAATTCTCTCTGTTTTAAAACACGAGTGTATAAAACTGGTGATGTGATACAAAATTATTTTTAGGGACATATATGTGTTTTCAGATTCTGAGTTTTTATGAAGAAATAAATTTTTTTTTCAATTAAACTGAAATAAAATTAGATTGTATATTCATGTCTTATTAGTGTTGACTTGAAAAAAAAAAAAAAAAAAACAGAAAATATAAAACAAAATCAACATAGTTTATTTATATTTTAATTGTTAAAACATGTAAACAATTTTATTGTATATAAGGACAGCCCATTTTTCGTTTGTACCCACCAGCCTTGAAAACTATTGAATGGATCTAATGAAAGATTTTTGGTCAAATGGTCTGTGTTGGACCATGAAGTTTTAAGCTAGTAAAATCCTCAATTTCACGAATAAAGAGAAAGTTAATACATTTTCAACTGTATATATTTTTTAAAGTAAACTTAACCCAGTTTAATTCTAATTTTACATAGTTGTAGGAATCACATTTGAATGATGTTAAAAATGCTACTTAACAAAATAATGGTCATTGCAAAAACAGCAAAACAAAATAAAATATTCCTTATGTTTACATACAAGAAAAGTTTATTTTTCGATTTTAATAGCCAACTGCAAAAACTACTGCATCAATCATTACCAAATTCATAGCTTCAGTGATAATAAAATTTAAAGATTTATAGATTTTTCATTAATTTCAAAATAATTCATTCAGAATATCTGTTGCCTTATCAAGACCATGTTGAGAAGAAAACCAGTATTTATGTATCCTGGACTAGCTACTGAAGATAGAGCTGTAAAAGGAATAGTGGATGAATGGGAACTGCCTTTGATAATTGACCTACGTATACTTGTACCACAGGAAGAAATAAATAAAAATATCATTTGTGCTAAAGTACTTCACTTTTATTTATTCCAAATAAATTTTGAATAATATTCAATTAATCAGATGGACTCTGTCATGAACTCATAACGTGTACGAATTCAAATCCTTTTTCTGCAAATTTACATTTTAAGGTCTATACCATCATGTTTGCATATTAGCTCTAGAATCAGGGTCGATAAAATGTTTAGAGTGATTAACAGATAAATGTTTAATTCTTACCTGGAACTTTTTATTTACTCCTATATGCCTTCCATAGATAAGAAATAATAATTGTGCCTAGTTACCCAAGCGAAACAAAAAGAGGGTTATGTGTTTGGTTCATCTGCTAAGAGCTATGTTATGCTTTTTTGAGCAAACAGTAGGATCGTTTTTTAAGTTCGATGGCTCAAATTACTCTGTGAGATCCCCTGAGTGTTTTGCAACAATTTGAGCTAAAAATACTGATCCATTATTAAATAAAATGTATTTTATTAATTTTTAAAAGTTTAATAACGTTGTTTAGAGCGAGCAGCTGGATCAATTTCTAAGTTTGATGGCTCAAATTATTTGATGAGACCCTCTGAGTGTTTCGAAATAATTTGAGCTTAAAATACTGACCCGTTATTACATAAGATGTGTTTAATCAATTTGCAAAAAGCTTTGTAATGCTGTTTTGAGTGAATGGCTGGATCGATATTTAAGTTAGATGGCTCAAATTACTCGGTGAGATCCACTGAATGTTTTGAGCGAAGGCTGGACCGATTTTTAAATTTGATGGCTCAAATTATTCAGTAAGGTTTCATGAGTGTTTTGAAATAATTTGAGCTCAAAATTATGTCAAATTAGCATGTAAAATGTGTTTCATCAATCCACACAAAGGTACGTAAAGGATGTTTTGAGCGAATGACATGATCGATTTTTAACTTTGACGGCTGCAATTACTCAGTTAGGTCCCAAGAATGTCCTGAAACAATTTGAGCTCAAAATACTGAAAAAAATGTTATAATAGTTTAAGTATATTGATTATTAATTGATTTGAAATGATAACATGTGATCATATGTTATGAAAATGAATTGTTAATATTAAAAAAAAAAAAAAAAATCTGACTACAATAAAAGAGAAATTTTATCCACCCTGAGTGTATGTACTCCCATTTCTACTGAAGCATCTTGGTAGATTAATAGGGAAATTGACATATATGAATATATATACTTCCTATAGTAGTGGGGTTCCTATCACACCTCAAAACTCTTTCGGTTGTTGATATGCACTGATACATTTGACAAAATATATTTGCCTAGAGTCACAATATATAGTGAAAAGAACCCGACCACTACAGCATGTTTAAATATTTACAGATGTCAATTTCCCTATCAATCTACCAAAATATTTTAGTAAATATGGAAGTATGTTGACTTAGGAGAAATTGAATTTCCCAATTTCCATAGTAGGGTTTTTTAAAATTGAATTTTTTTTTTTTAATAATTTCGTTATTACATTATAGAAGGGTATCACTTGTTCTATCTGGCATGACATACAAAAAGCACTCTTTTGTCTTCCTACAAATACCTATTTTTACTTTCACTTACCTATATATATAATATATAGTAAGGGAAAGTATTGGGATCATAAAAATTTTTGAATCTGAGCTTTCAACAGAAATGCATATTTTGAGTTCAAAAAACCAAGTCAAGAAAATAAAACTAAAATATACAATTATAATTATCACCCTAAATAATAGAAAATATTTTGAGTTGAAAAAAAAATTAAATCAATTTGATTTTATATAACAAAAATGTTTTTAAAAAATGGATAGATATTTTTAAGCTTTTGTCAAAAAAATTTTTGAATTTGTTAACTGAATTTTTTTTAAATCCTACAAAATAATACACAATTTACCTGAGCCAATTTCTTTGACAAATGATGTTGTTCGAAAAACCTGTTTAGCCACAAATAGGGCATCTGTTCCATGAACTGTATAAAATTCAGTTCGATTGAAAAATCTTATAGTTGTTGAAGGTTTCTATAAAAAAAAATAAAAACAATTTATAAATAAAACAAATAGCACAATATTCCTTCAATTCAGGGTCATAACTTTTTATCTGAAGAACAAGGTCATGACCTGTGATGCACAAGGTTTGAGAAAATTTTATTACGTGTTCTATTTTGATATTATACTTCTACGAAACGGAAGAATATTACAAACATTACTGATTAGAATGACCTCATTATTTATTTGAATTAAATGATAAAAAAAAAAGTTCTACTACAACAATAAATATTGAAAATAACAGTAAATTCTTATTAACTAAAAACATTAAACATTCAAATAGAAAAATAAATAAGTTTGTTTTTCCTGCTAAAAAATTATCCATATATTCAATTGTAAAATTACAAAATCGATTACACTAAACATATATCGTCACTTTATTGTAAAAAGTCATTAAATACATTTTTGAAGGAGCTAAACTTTTAAGATTGTTTTTTTTTTTTTTTTTATGAATTTTGACATTATTTATTAATAAAAACAGTAAGAGCACTAAAATGACACAAACCTTTTTGTATATCAAATATAATGACAACAAATCCACAATTTTTGGACTTCACAAAGGGACAATTTATCAAAGGTAACAGTGATTAAATTTTTTGCAATATACCAATGATATAAATTATAACTTAATACTGAATTTCTACAAGATCACCCACTCTTTAGTAAGCTTTGATATATGCTACAACTGAAGCAAATAGAGAGTTTCTAAAAGCCTTGAGTACATACTGAACAAAAACTAAAATAATAAATTATTTTTTAACAAATAATTAACCTATCAATGGATTACCTCTAAAGCCTATTAAGTCCATAAAAACAAATTTTACACAATGAAAGTAAAACTGTATTTCTATTAGAGAAAAATAAAAATTATGAATTTTTAACTTGTATTTTGTGAATTTCCTGTTAGAATTAAAATAAATGAGTGTACAATAGCCATTTATATCACAAACAGATCCAGGATTTAATTTTTTTTTGGGGGGGGGGGAGTTTCAACCCGAAAACATTATTTTTTTCATAAAAATAATGATAATTACTATGGAATAAAAGAAGGAAACTAACTACCTATATGAAATGGTGTTTAAGTGATTCCTAAAGTCTTTTTAAATGTAATTACACTAACAATAATACTTTATTACAAGAGATAATTTTTTAATATTTTTTTCCATAATGCATCGTAATATTTTATCATTTTGGGGGAGCTTCAGCCTCAAAGCCCTCCTCCTCCCCCCCGTAGATCTGCCCATGACTTTAGAATTTTAGTGAATTGAACCAACAAGGTTTTAGAATTAAGCCATCAATATTATAATTATATTGTATTGTATTAAATGTCATTTTAATGTTAGCACTATCAATAATACAAGAATAAACAAAATAAAAAATTACACTGTTCAAAATGCAAAATATAAGAAAATACTTTTTAAATCATTCTAATAGAACACTTTTATTTATTTGTTTTTTTAAATTATACGATACTCAAAAGTGGTAATATCAATATAGAATCCCTGATGAATAGTGGAAAAGAAAGAACATTCATTTTGTAACTGAGTGGTCAATCTTGAAGCAAGCTGACGATTATCAATTCAATAATTCTAAATTGAACTTCATCAACCATTTTCAGCCAACAAGTTAAAGTTTTTTGTACAAAAATAAACATAAGCCAATCATGCATATTTTATTTGCTTAACAAATTATAAAATAATTTGTTGATTGCTGTTATCGATCTACTTAATAAATATTTAACAAATGGCTACCAAATAAGGAGCATGAAAATTGAAGAAAGATCTTTTAAGAACATTTTTTAAAATATGTTAAAAATATATAACACAATCTTAGTAACAGAACATCTCAAGCTTACATAGCAAAATTATTCTACCCTTGTAAAATTAAATCAGAAAATCAAACTATAAGATATAAAAGTAATACCAAATATGAAACAAGAGAGATGAGAAAAAAAAAAGATGATGAGAATAAAGACTATGTTAAGTTTATGATGACAAGATTATTCATTATATTCAATAATCAAACAACTAGATATCAGGCTTATACTTAGAGACCGGATTTTCATATAATTGTATTTTTGACCACAAGTTCTAAGGCTCGTTAATTGCGGTAATTTTTTTGACAAAAATTTGGTATAAATTTTATATGAGACAAAGTGATGAGATGTGCTAGTTGGTATTAATGACTGATGGAGTGCATTATATACCGAAAGCTGGAAAGGCTTTGATAGTGTGATATTGCAAAGTAATATACAATGTGCAGAGCAGAATCTAAATCAAATTAAGTGTTTTGAAACATTTTTATTAAAATACAACAATGTTTTAACTGGAGAAAATTTTGATGTAGATATTGCACCAAATATTTTAAGCTCATATCAACAATTCCCAGAGTTGATTTAGAAAGAGCATTTTCTCCTTTGAAACATATACTTGCGGATAGAAGATATGACTTTTTAAAAATGTAGAAATGTATTTCATACTGAAATTTATTTGAAATAATTAATTTGGTTGTTTATAAGAGTGTTAACACAGTTTTACATTTATATGTTTTATTTTATGCAGTTTGTATATACCAAAAATTATTATTTTGTTTTTAAATAAATTATGTTAAAATTTATTCAGTTAAACAAGTTTTGATTTCTTTATTACATTATTTTGCATGATTCGTTTAATGAATGTTGCATAAGCCTCTAATGCATAGTATTGCTAAAATCGTAACAAAAAAGTAAGTCTTGTTATTAACGAGCATAGTCAAAGAAATAAGTTTTATTTATAATACAGAACAAAAATAAAAAAACAATAAAATGGAAGAAACACAGACTAGAGACTAATAGGTCAATGATACTTTAATTAAAAATAAATTGATTAATCAGTCAAGATAAACATAGAAGCCAAGGAATCGCTATCGGTTCCCCCTCTTCAATAAAAAGAAATGTATAAGGATGGATCCTAAAAATTGATAGATCAGTGTTTGGTAATCTAGAATCACAGCAACCTGTAAACCAGTTATACGGTAAGTTTTATATTGAGGATAGAAAACATTTACATTAAATAATTATATTTGAAATAGTTTAGGACAAGAAAGTTGTTCTTAAAATAACTTTTAAGGAGTTATTTGTTTAAGTTCGGGCCAATTCAGTAATACTTTAAATACTAAAACAAATTTAAACATAAATTTTAAAATTAGTATAGCACTAATCAAAACTTAATGGATGTATAAGTTAACAGGTACTTGTTTATTTAAATATTTAGTTCTCAATTACATTAGCTATCATTAAGTGTATTTATCTATAAAATATTTATCAAAGCCTATTAAAATTAAAATTTAATACATATAATAAAACTTATGTTTAATTAAATTAAATTGAAGTAGGCATACAATTTAGCTATATGTAAATTCTTATAAGATTTTTGTTAAAATAAATAATTTTCACCAGTATTTAAAATTTTTTGTTTTTAAATTGGCACAATATAAATTACCATTTCATTTCTACTGGTCTTTGCAATGTATAATTTAAAGTCCAATAGTAATTTAAAAAAATGTAATAAAATTAATTTCATCAAAAGCAATCTGAAGAGTTGGTTTAGATACTCGATTACCTCGCATTTGAAATGTTTTTGACCATTCAATATCATTTTGTTACGTTAGAATTTTCAGATAATGTGATAAAAATTATAAAAATAATTTAATACCTAAAAAATTAAAATAAATTATTCCTGATCACTTTTGCCTATATATCAAATAATATATGAAAGACAGATAGGAAGGAATGCCTATTAAGTAATATCAGCCAGAATAACTGATAGCAAATCTCCTCATCAAATTAAAAATGAATAACAACTAATGCTGGCCAATAACATACAGGATAAGAATCACAGATTGTGTTCAACAAAAACAAATATCTGTATTAATTCTTTATTTTTTAACTATAGGAAATTATCTAAACGATATAAACTTTAAGGCAATTTTATTTTATCTAAATATTAAACAATAAAATATCATCTATAAGTAAATAAGTATTTATATGGTGAGAATATATTTAATATTCTAGACCCTTAATGAATCTTTTTAATATATTTTTTGATTGAAGAAATTGAAATATAAATACCTATAGAAACAGTACCGGTCACTAACAGATCCAGGATTTAATTTTGGGGAGAGCTTCAGCCCGAAAGTTTTTTTTTGTATGTATATATTAGGATAATTACTTTGGAAGAAAGAAAGAAACTAACTACCTATATGAAATGATGTTTAAGTGATTCTTTAAGTCCTATTAAATGTAATTAGACGAATAATAATACTTTTAGAGATAATTTTTTTCATAAAACATGGTTATATTTTATTATTTTTTTGGAAGGGGCCCCCTTCATCTCCCCCGTAGATCTGACTGTGGTGCCGGTCTTAGGGTGGGATAACCAGGGCTATTGCCCTGAGCGCCTGTTGGGGATGTCGGCCGATCTTCAGGGGGCCTTGCGACTTGTTAGAAATTAAAAAAAAATTACAGAACGTATTAAAATAATTAATTTTAGTCTATCAATAAAGCAACTGAATTAGAGCAAAGTTAAATAAAATAAAATTCCAATATTACATAATGTAAAACCACTAGGAAAAAATTTAATTTTTGGGGGCGAAAGAGATGAAGTCATTTCCCAGGGGCACCAAATGTCTAAGGCCGGTACTGTAAAGAAATGTTCATAATATCTTCACACACTGATAGGCTGTTAACTTCACTTTATAAACAACTCGGTGTTTAACATCTCATGAAAGTGACAAGGCCTATCAAACTGGTTTACTGCTGATAATTCAGTATTTCTTAAAATCTCTATTAAGGTTTCCTAAATCTATAGTTGAATCTTATGTAATGAATTGCATAAGAGCCTGACCAATTCAATCAAATTTTATGTTTCTAAACCAAATTTCAATTAAAAAATATTATTGTCATGTTTGTAACATTAACATTAAAAGTTGCTTTGATCTTTTTCATACACTTGTAGAAACAGGCTTATGGCTTATTTTTCTTCCCTTGGACATAAAAATAATATTATACTGTATACACGGTGGGCCATACCCTCTACCTTGCATCAGCATTAGGTTCAATTTCATCATAATTGTCCTTTTATTAAAGCTGAATAGTCAGAAAATAATAAAACATGAAACAATATTAAAAAACAATCGGTTTAGGCAATAAAAAACACCTGTAATGTCAATTTTTTCAAAAAAAAAAAAAAAATTCAAGTTGAAAATCAAACGTTGTTTGTAATTAAATGATCAACAATAAACGTCCTGAAATAAAACATATGGAGAATATATTTTTCTTACTAAAGCAATGATAACTTTTAAAAATCTTTGAAGTGGTTTTGTAGGAAATGCACTTAATCGGCAGAAAAGTGGTACTGGCTGGCGTAGATGCCTACAGACCTCTGCCACATCATTCAGTACCTATAAATGGTATAGTTATAGTGATATAATAATTTTTTAGGTACATTGTATTGATTGTATTAACAAACAAATATTAATGCAATAATTTAATTTTCCAAAAAAATTAAACAATTTTTTATTTTGTTTGTTATATATATTTTTTAAAATGTTACTTCCTTTATTCTATATGGAGGTCGTTTAAGAATGCTTCTATTGGAAAAATGATATAATTATAGAAATAAAACTTAATTCAAAAATACTTTGCTGAATACGTTGATTTTTTTATTAAACCGTTTGCAATTTAACACTTTTGTATATTTGCTGTTTCTTAGAGGTAAGTTAAATTTATATACTTTAATTTTTTTTTTTTGTTCCTTTATTATGTTCGGAGGTTGGGCCATATCATAAAAAATTAGGAGATTTTAATACTGAATACTTTATTCTCTCTGCATAAAGAAAGGTAGAAAGGGCAAAGCTGTATGGCCTTCTAGGTAACCGAAACTAATTGTTAGTAGTAAGTCGATCTACTTCTGTTTAGTGAATTTGGACTGAATCTTTGAAATAATCAGAAAGGAAAACATAAGACGAGCTTTTTTGATGGGCAAGTAGATATTTGCAATCCAAAGTATGAGGCACTAGATAGAGTGTTATTTCCCTTTATCGAAGGAGTTATCTATAACCTGCTTTAAAGTGAACATAGTCCCAATGTGCAACTTCTGTTCCAAAGTGAAAGTTGAGTTTCTTCAGTAGAGCTTCTTTGGCATATTGAATAGGATTGAATCTCGATGGGTATTAAATTTCCTGGTATCTCCTTCCTTGTAAAGGGAAAAAACTATTGGAGGCATATTAATCAATATATATTGAAAAAGTGGAGAAATATAACATCACATTTATTGCCTATGTACGCGCAGCATTTAAAGTTACTTCATCCAGAACTAATGACTTGCCAATTGCTTCGAAATAATCTTTCTTGCTGATAAACTGGTGTTCACCATGATAAATCTCCATCATCAACTTAACATCATTCAAACTGCTCCAGCATTTGACCCCCTTTTAGCAGCTATTTCAAATATTCTGTTCATCTGTCCACTATGTATTTGTTTGGCCATATAATGGATACTGATCCTTTTTTTTCTCCAAGATTTTGGCAATTCCTTCCTCGTTCGCTTAATGAATTTTTCTAATTTTTGGGTTCAACTTTGTGTTTTCCCTCATCTTGATACCAAATACTAATAATTAGTTTCGATTACCAAGGAGGCCATTCAGCTTCACCCTTTCCACCTTTCTTTGTGCAGATTGAAAAAAGGATCCAACATTAAAATTTCCTATTTTTTTTTTATATGGCCCAACCTCCGAACAAAATAAAGGGAAAAAATGAAATTAATTTTTCTTCATTAGTGATAGATGAGTTTTATTAAACAACCCGGCAACTATTAATTATATGTAATTCAGATTAATTGTATTTTAGTTTATAAAACAGGAATTAATATGACTCATTCCGGGAAAGTAAATACAATTTAACTTACCTCTAAGAATCAGTAAATATACAAAACAAAGTGTTTGTTATTTATTTAATGAAATTTACAACTCTATAAAAAATACAAACAGTAAAAATGCACATATTAGAAATAATGACATGAACAGACTTGAAGAGATACTGCCCAGTGCTAGCTAGCACTCCCTATTTAATTCTAGGTAAGATGATCACAAGGACATCTTTTCAGACGCCTAGAGGGATTATAAGGAATCAAGGAAGAAGCAAGGCTGGAAACAAGTGGATTCAGATGGGACAGGAGTTTATCATGAAAGGATAGGTATCTGGCTCGGACTAAATCAGCGGTATATGGAACATCAAGGTCTTTATGAATGGTTTTATTTGTGACAAATTATTGGGCATTAAGGATTTTACTAAAGATTTTGGACTGTAAGGATTGGATACGATAGGAATTCGATGGTTTGGTAGAGCCCCAAAGCTCAACTCCGTATGTCCATATAGGTGTTATTATGGTAAAGTAGATGAGTCTTTTGTAATTAATTGAAAGTTTAGAGCGTTTGTCTAGTAAGTGTTGGAGCAGTCGTAAATGTCGAGCAGATTCTTGTCATTTCAGTCTAGTATGTGGAATCCAAGTGAGACGTTTATCCAAGTAGAATCATAGGTAGTGGATTTGTTCAACAGGAACAAGTGGTATATCATTGAAGGATATTGTAGGACAAGAAGTTGTTGGTTTACGACGAAGGGTAAAGGTAATTTGATGGGATTTATTTTTATTCTACAGTTATGACACCATTCTTCGAGGTTTTTGATACATGATTAGAGGGTTTGGGAAGCAATTAAAGGGTCATTATTAACAGATAGGATACAAGTGTCATCTGCATAGATGGTGATGACCGTGTTGAGATGGGTAGGGATATCAACTGTATTAACTATATTAAGGATAGGACCGAGGATGCTCCCTTGAGGAACGCCAGCAGACTGGTAAAAGAGGGATGAACATGCATTATTATGATTTACTTTGAAGTATCGATCATTAAGGTATGAACGGATAATGAAGAATTATGTAGGTGGTAGGAATTTACAGAGTTTGTACAGCAGTCCCGGGCGCCAGACTATATCAAACGCCTGTTCAACGTAGAGAAAGACTCCCATACAGTACATATTACGCTCCAATGCAGAGGAGACTACTTCTACCAAACGATGACATTGCTGGATAGTAGAATGGGATCTGCAGAATTCAAATTGGTGAAAACAAAGTGTTAAATTGCAAACATTAATAAAATATTCAAGATATTCAGCGAAGTATTTTGGATTAAGTTTTATTACTATAATTATATCATTTTTACAATAGAAGCATTCTTAAACGATCTCTGTATAGAATAAAGGAAGTAGTATTTTAAAAAAAATAAATAATATAAAAAATTGTTTAATTTTTGGACAGTTAAATTATTGCATTTATATTTGTTTGTTAATACAATCAATATAATGAACCAAAAATGTAATTATAGCACTTTATATCATATAACTATACCATTTATGAGTACTAAATGAGGTGGCAGAGGTCTGTAGGCACCTACGCCAGCTAGTACCACTTTACTGCCGATTAAGTGCATTTTCTACAAAACCACTTCAAATATTTTTAAAAGTTATTATTGCTTTAGAAAGAAAAATATATTCTCCAGATGTTTTATTTCAGGACGTTTATTGTTGACCATTTAATTGCAAACGATGCTTGATTTTCAACTTGAATTTTTTTTTTTTAAACATTGGCTTTACTGGTGTTTTTTATTGCCTAAACCAATTATTTTTTAATATTGTTTTATGTTTTATTATTCTCTGTCTATTCAACTTTAATAAAAGGACAATTATGACGAAATTAAACCAAATGCTGATTCTCAGTGACCAAAAAACTAACTAAAGTCAAATTTGCCAATCAGCCATCTTTGGGCACCATTTTGGGACAGTGTTCACTTTTTTTTTTTGTGGGAACATTGATTTTTTTTTTTTAATAAATAGTTATAAAGAACATAACGATATGCAATTTATAGGAATGTGGAGGAGAGGGCATGGTAGAGGGGTCTGGCCCAAAGACTAGCAATGTTTATTTAAAATAAACAAATATTAGACGCATATATATATATTATCCTAATGACTTATTTTAAAATATCACTTAATGCTTAATTTTTAATAGTAATATATAAAACAATAAACTTTAAATTCACCACGATGCTGTGCTAACATTGATTTTATTTTATTTTCAGGGAAACATGAAGTTCTATTATTGCTTGATATTATCACTATTAGGGATAGCAAATGGATCGCCATACTATTATCGTGAAGATAAACACCACTCAGAACATCACAAAGAATATTCTTACAGTGATAGTCAAAGTCAACCCTCATTGTCTGCATATGAATCTTCACCTCAGAAATATATTGAAACTTCCCATTTCAGTACTCATGCAATTCCAGAACGATACTATAAATTAGAAACTAATCCTTCATTTTCCAGTGGTTTCAGCCAATATTCAGGAGGTGATCAGTCAGCTTTTCACCAGAAAGGATTCCAAAGTAGTGGAATACAAAGTAGCCACTTAAGTCCATTTTTAACAGGACAAAGCATAAATGTACAAGGAGTCAAACCTGGAACCTATGTTGTAAAGCAAGTCAAAATCTATCGACAACCAACTACTTACACAGGTTTCTATGGAACAGGCTATATGGATGGCAGAGGCTTAGAAACTGGACAGCAAGAAGAGAATCTGTATGGTAGTCAACATGAAGAGAATTTAAATGCACAAACAGGAAAGTATGTAAAACAAGTACAAACAAACTTATATCACCAAATACCACAGGCCCTCCCAACTATTACACAAGATGAAAGCTTATTTGGACAAAAGTCGATAAGTGAAGAAGACTTGAGCCAGTTTGGTCAGCAACAAATTAGTGGTCAAAAAGAAGATTGCAAGTATAACGAACATATGGAAGACTTTGGACAACAACCTCAAAGAGGAGATTTAGACATTGGCCAAGAACAAGAAGATTTGAGGACACATCATTCTCAAATAGTGAAAACACTAGAAAATACACCTGTTGATGACAAAAACAAAGGGTATAAGTATTATGAAAAGCGAGTAACCACTTATGGATTGCCAGAAAAAGAAAGTAATATTTATAAACAGACTTATGTCCATCACACACAAATGCATGGAACAGTAGGTAATGGAGGAAATGATTTTGGAAAGTACCAAGATACTCTTTTTGGACCAACTACAATAAAGACAATTAATGGTTTTGAAAATATACAAACAGGATCCAAAGAGGAATCAAAACATGTTAGTTACAGTAAAGAAGCAGTCGAATTAGAGAAAAAAGTTCAACAAATCAAACCACTACCATATTACAGCAATCCTGTATTCATACCACAACCAGCATCACTAGGTCAACAACAAATCTACAGTGGTTCATTAGATGAGGGGCAGCATGAAGAGAGTGAATATGGACAACATACATCAGATTTAGGACAGCGACTGGTTTATGGCAGTTTGGAGGTTGGTCAACAGCCTGACAGCATTACTGGCCAACAGCTAGAAACTGGTTCTTTTGAACAAGGACAAAAGGAAGAAAATTTAAATGGTAAACATCTTCATACTTGGGAGAAGCATATCAACACCAGTACAATAGAGGTGAAAGGATCAGGAAAAGAACCAGCTCAGAAGCCATTCGAACACCACCTCAGAACAGAACGTTTAGAAATAGGGCAAAGTTCTAATAACAAACCACACATTCTAGTGAAGGAAAATGTAACTAGAACTGTGGTAGTAGGTCATAACATTCCAACAAAACCTATACAAAATCTTCCAGAGGGTCAAATAGAAGAATCTGCTAGTGGCCGAAATATAGAAACAGGATTTTTTGAAATAGGCCAAAAAGAAGAAAATGTGGGCCAGTTGGAAACCGGTAATTTAGAAATAGGCCAACATGAAGAAAATGTGGGCCAATTAGAAACTGGTGATTTGGGATTAAGCCAACATGAAGAAAACTTGGGCCAATTGGAAACTGGTGATTTAGAAATGGGCCAACATGAAGAAAGACTTGTAATAGGAAAAAATTCAGAAAACGTAGGTCAGCATACAGAACAAGAAACAATACTTGACAATGGTAAGTTCAACTTAGGTCAAAAAGAAGAAACTTCATATGACTTTGAACTCGGTAAAAGTACTTTTCCTGTAAAATTAATAGTGACCCCAACCAAAGCACCAAAATATAATGAGCACACATCATATGTTAAAACATACAATCAACATGAATCACATTACAAAGAATTTAAACATAATTCCAACGGCAAGCTAAAAGATCTCTCCTTAAATCCTCAGAAATATTATACAACTACAACACCTAAAAATAATGAAAAAGATAGCTTAAATACAAATAAAAAAACAGATTATTTAGAACTCCAACAAAAGGCAGAGGAACTGGCTCTGATACTTGGATTAGAAGATAACTCTAAGCAGAAGTCATCACAACAAGAAAGCTATGAAGATAAATTTTTAAGGGGAAATCTAGAAAAATCATCAACTTCTGAGGTTCTTGCTACCGGAACCAAAGAACATTCAATTGTAAACCATCACACTTCAGAAAGCTTGGTCCCAAATAAAAAAATAACAACCTGGGAAACACATAAAGAAGAGTATGGTTTAAATTACCCTCTAACCTCTCAAGGCTCATATTTCAAAAAACAAACTGAACATAATTATGAAAATCAAGGTTATATTAACCAACCAATGTCACAAAACTATGGTTATCAGGGACAGGGTCAGCATTCATCACATTATGGTGGATACAGAAAAGGTTACTCAGTCAATAGTGGAGAGAGGGCATATTTCAGTGACCAACCAATTCAAAGAACACACACCTCAGGATCACAATTTTCATTTTCAAGTTCATCAGGAGGTTCTCAAGACAAACAAAAGGTGATTGACGATTTTCTAAAGGAACTAGACAAAGATATAGCAATAACTAATCACCAACAACGACAGCAACAAGGAAGCTATGCAGGAATGGCACAGAGTAGACCTGTAAACAGTGATGTGAGCTACTATTCTCAAAGGACTGTATCCACCCATAGTAATAGTAGTTACAGCTCTAGTGGTACAGTACCAGGAGGAACCACAGGAAAAGCATGGTATCAAAAAATTGGAGATTCGATAGGATCAGGTTATAATCAAGCTAAAGAGAAAGCTAAAGACATTGTGAAGACAGTTAAACATTCGGTGGGCTATTAAAGTTCATAAAGCATTGCTTTCTCTAAAACCTAGCTAATAAACAAAATAAAATAAAATTTAAAAAAAATTAAATTAAATTATTTATTTATTTTGTGTGGATGTTGTGTGTGTGTAACGTCAAAAATGTAAAAATCCCTAAAATTTATGGACATGAAATATCTGTAAAATACTATTACTAAATAAAAATATAAACAATAAGTTAATAAAAATTTCAAATGTTATTACTTTAAATGACTGTAAATAATAAATAAACTTTTTGTACTATACTTTTCATTATACAAATTTCAAATGTTATTACTTTAAATGACTGTAAATAATAAATAAAATTTTTGTACTATACTTTTCATGAGTTCATTCATGATTCATTTCTAAAAACAGCAACAATCCGACAATCCAAAATTCCTTTTCCTACTTCTCACATATAATCAAAGATTGAATAAACTATAGGTGATACTCTATTATTTTTTAAAGCACTGATAATTCTTGAATTGTATATTCTTGTCTCATATTGTACTTATCATGTAATGGTATTTCCAGAGCTGTAATTCTCAAATTAATAATATATCGTTAAATGGTTTCTGAAGGATTAGCTTGTTTATTATCACTAGAGACTGGATCTTCATGTTATTGCACATTTTGTTCGCTTAGGTGTAAAAACTTCTAACCCAACAATATATCCGTTTCACGATCTGTAGAATAACATATTGAAATTTCATTTTACACAAAATTGCAAGTTTTGGCCTTTTCGGGCTTAATTGCACGTTTTCTGTTTTTGTTGCATAGTACTGCATATTTTACAATTTAAGAGATAAATTTTAATTTTGTGTTCGACCCATGGACGGCATAAGGCTGGAATTAGATATTAAATTTTTGTTTTTAATCTTTTCTTTTTTAAATGACATTTTCAAGTTATGTTTCTAGAATGAAAAAATATTTTAGACTCTAATTGTTCGATAGAGATAATAAAATTACTATAAAAATAAACAAATTTTATATTAAAAATAATAGTATAATTGCGGGAAACTTATTTAATAATTTAATGAAAGAGCACAGAGCCACTTACAAAGCCTCTTATTTTCATCCACATGGTTCTGTTATTCATAGTTCCAAAATGTGTGTACATTTCTTTTCCAGTTTTCAAACAAACAAATATGAAATTATTTGTAAACAAAAGTTTTATTGCCACTTGGCTAAATGTCCTTTGACAAAACGTCATCGGGTTACATGACAGACTATGAATTTTAATAAATGCTAAGGAGCTTAACCCAACATCTATTATTTTAAAATTTAAATTGATCTAAACTCGTAAAATCAAGCCTCAAATAAAAAATGCACAGTTTAATAAAAATATATGATTAATTTTTTGTAAGCTGCTTTTCTTTCATACAGATATAATTTAATCGTCGTTCATTTTAAATTAGAATTAGACTTTTCTCAGGTTGCTACACGTTGTATTTAACTTCAATTTATAGGCTATAACTCTTAACATAGGATTAAACAAACAACAATATTATAAATTTAAAAAAACTATGATTTTGGCATGTTATGTATACAATTTTCCACTTTTTAAGTTTTTACTAAACGATTTTGCACATTGTGAGTTTTATATTCCACTGCACGAAAATCCGGTCTCTAATTATCACTAATACACTCCGTTCTATAAAGACATTCCATTAAAGAGACACTAGACGATACCAAGGGTAAGAGTTCTGAAACATTAATTTAAGCCCAGAATATATAAGAAGTTTATATAATTTCAATGACCTTAAAACCTTAATGTAATCAAGGTTTTAATAAAAAATCTGTATGAACAAGAAAAATAAATTTGTACATCGCCATTGCATAGTGGATTATTTCGAGGAAACAATGTGTGCTATCAAAGAATTTTTATTATGGACTGTATTAGGCAAGAAGACAAGATATAGTTCTTACCTCAGACAAAGATTTAAAATATGATACAAACAATTTCTGTTGAGCAGGATCTAAAAAAAAAAAAAAAAAAATTGAATTTATAATAGTGATAATTATAATAATAATCATTAAATATACCAACTGGTTTATATATTTTTTTTTATGTACTTAAAATAGGAGAAATATATAAATAATTGCTGTCCATTTCAATTGGCTTACAGAATACAAATTCTTTAAAAAGGGCATATTAAAAATTTATGGATAGCACGGAAAATACATTAATAAGAAAAGAAGTAATGACTACTCTTTTGTAACTATTTGAAACATAAAAGAATAAAGGTTAAAATAAATAAATAAAAATTGGCAAAGAGAGAAATAAACCATAAATTAAGTAGAATTAAATAGGTTAATAATGGTTTTTAAAATGATTAAGACCAAAAAAACTTCAATGGTTTTCAACTTCACATGCCTATATATGAAGTTTTTTTTTTTTTGATCTGGTAGAAACACTCGAATCTGCTCCCTCAGTTGAAGGTTTAAGTAGAAATATTGTCATAAATAGGGAAGAGAAAGTAAAAATTATAGACGGTGTATCATATACATTTAAAATAATTAATAAGCATCCAAGTAATAAGTATGGCCAGGTTCAAAAAAATTAATGAAAAATAGATAAAAAGAACTGTACAAATTATAAAACATATATATTTTAATTATAATTAAAATATAATAATGAAATAAAATCATAATTAAATAATCATACTTAAAATATAATAAAATAAAAACAAAATAATAATTAAATAACCATACTTAAAATGAAATAAAATAGAAAAAACAACAACGCTTGGGCAAGGAGGTGATTTAACTGAGATCACGCTCAACCGCCAAGTTTTTTCTCTTAATTAATTAAGAGTACCTACTTTATAGAGGCTGGGTGTTCCTCAGGGTCGATCACTACCGATGAATCAGAATAAATAATTCATCTGCCATCAGCCGGATTAGAATCTGGAGCATCAAGCTTTAAAAGTGGGTGCTCAACCCTCTCACTGTGCTACCCAAACTAATACATTATTAAATATTTAATGGTTGAACGTTGCATTATAAAGGAAGGAGATGGTCCGGGGTTGCGGTCATAAAAAGGCTAAATAGTGGTAAAACTATTTTATTGAAAGCCAACGTTTCGACCCGACTTTGCAGGTCTTCATCAGGGCTAGAACGGACAAGATACAAAAAGATAGAGAATTGTAGAAATTACATAATATTTAGACATAATTTATAAACAATGTGAATAAGCTTATTAGAATTATAAACAGTAAGTACAATACAATATGGACTAAGCAAGCTGAGTAACAAGATCCTAAAATAAAGTAAATAGATGCTAACAATTGTTGTAGTGTAATATATAACAAATGAAAATGTGAGTATAATTCTACAAAATCTACAGGAGAAAAAATAAGATTAGAGACTTACAGGTGTGTTCCTCTAGGAGTTTCACTTACAACTGGAAAGGCAGCGGTAAGGATTGCAGGTATAGGGGGAGCTAACATGTGTTAACTAAGTAAAGATTGAAAAACCCAGGAATGTACAGTACCTAGGAATTTTTGAAGATATGGATGGATACAATGGAAAAATACTATATCTATAAATATTAAATTATAAATATATAAATATACATATAAAATAGAGTTGAGAGATGTGAGAGGTATTTCATGATTCTAGATCAGAGTACAATCTGAATAAACCCAAAATTGGTAAAGAGTAAAATGTAAATATAGAAATAACTTTATTAACATACATACATTGCAGAGCTAACTTAAAAGTATAGAGAGGGAAAAGAAAAAAATAAATAAATAAAAAATATAGGGTGGTCATACATTGGTGTAGAGTGTAAATGTAAATTTAGAATAAAATTGAAGAGAGATCATACAAAGAAGGAATATTTAGAATAATAAACAATTAAATGAATTAATTAATAAAAATTGAGAGTGGATGAAAATAATAGAATAGAATATTTAAGTTATTTTTCATTTATAAGACTTAAAATGTGTCTATATGTAAGAGAAATACAGTTTTTGTCTACTTTGTGATTAACGGGATTGTGTTCCATGTGAATGTGGATAGATTCGGAAATGAGTCTTTTTTCATGGTTAGGGACCGTGGAAAGGATAGAGGTTTTTTCAAAATCAAATGAGTGGTTGAGTGTTAAAGCATGTTCTGATAGTTTGGAGGCGGAAGGATTCCGGGAAGTTATGGACGTTTTGTTGGGAAATGCGGGTTTTGAGATAGTTTTTGGTTTCACCAATATAGGAGCTATTGCAATTAGGAGTAGAGCAAGGTATCCGGTAAACTACATTGGATCGGTGTTGTAAGAGTATGGGATCCTTCAAGTTGGTGAAAAGGGAAGAAAGTTTGTTATGGGACTTAAGGCCAAGGCGTAAGTTGGTTGTAGTCGATTTTAGGAATTTTTGTATATTGTCTGAGAGGATAGGGATAGAGGGGAGAGATTTGAAAGGAGTGGTAGATGATTGTGGGGAGTTGGGAGAATGGGAGGCTGTATTGTTTTTGGTTGTATAGCAATTTAAAAGTTTATGTATGGTGTTCAGAGGAAAATTGTTAGAGAGCAGTATATTTTTGACACGTTGAGTGTTGGCTTGATGGTATTGTGGATCGGATAAGGAGAGGGATCGGTGAATAAGGTTTTTGGCGGTATTGATTTTTTGGTGATATGGGTGTTGGGAGTAATAGTTGAGTAGTCTGCCTGAGTATGTGGGTTTAGTGTACCAGTCAGTAGAGACAGAACCGTCAATGTTTTTCATTATTAGGAGGTCTAAGAAGGGAAGCGAATTGTTATCTTCTTTCTCTAATCCGGTTTCCTCAGCTTCCAAGGAAAATTCTTTCATCAGATTTCTGGCCTAGCCATGAGAAATTCCTTAGCACCAGATATTTCCAATATTGTTCCAATAAGACCTGCAAAGTCGGGTCGAAACGTTGGCTTTCAATAAAATAGTTTTACCACTATTTAGCCTTTTTATGACCGCAACCCCGGACCATCTCCTTCCTTTATAATGCAACGGTCAACCATTAAATATTTAATAATGTATTAGTTTGGGTAGTACAGTGAGAGGGTTGAGCACCCACTTTTAAAGCTTGATGCTCCAGATTCTAATCCGGCTGATGGCAGATGAATTATTTATTCTGATTCATCGGTAGTGATCGACCCTGAGGAACACCCAGCCTCTATAAAGTAGGTACTCTTAATTAATTAAGAGAAAAAACTTGGCGGTTGAGCGTGATCTCAGTTAAATCACCTCCTTGCCCAAGGGTTGTTGTTTTTTCTATTTTATTTCATTTTAAGTATGGTTATTTAATTATTATTTTGTTTTTATTTTATTACATTTTAAGTATGATTATTTAATTATGATTTTATTTCATTATTATATTTTAATTATAATTAAAATATATATGTTTTATAATTTGTACAGTTCTTTTTATCTATTTTCCATTAATTTTTTTGAACCTGGCCATACTTATTACTTGGATGCTTATTAATTATTTTAAATGTATATGATACACCGTCTATAATTTTTACTTTCTCTTCCCTATTTATGACAATATTTCTACTTAAACCTTCAACTGAGGGAGCAGATTCGAGTGTTTCTACCAGATCAAAAAAAAAAAGTTCATAAAAACGGATTTTTTTTTTGTGCATAAATTTGTTTAAAATACTATTTTGATTCATCCTGCAAGGTCTTAGCTTTTAAAAATGCATTTTAACCTTAAAAATAAAACAAACTAATAAAGATGGTATATTTGAAAAGTTAGCAATCCGAAGTTTTGAGAGGGAGACAGCTTCTTTATCCTCCCAACTGGACAAGGAAAGTTACTGATAGTCGAAATTCAATAGTTTGAATAACTCCTTAATAAAATAAATGGAAGTAATGTTCATTGACAGAGTAGAGGTGTAGCCCATGACATGAATTGCTACTCACTAGTGTTGACTGTTATCTATGCTTTAGCATAGTTTTAATAGAGCAAGAAGAAGCAAATATGGCAGAAAAGCCTATTTATTCTTCCCTAACTGTAGTCCTTGAACCACTCCAATCCACCAACAGAAAATAAACAATATATGAAACATGCAAACAACTTAAGGGAAAACCTTATGAGAGGATCTTAAGTTGGGAGGATAGAGAAGCTGTCTCCCTCTCGAAACTTCAGATTGCTAACTTCTCAAACATACCATCTTTATTATTTTATTTTGATTTGTTTTATACTCTTTCAAACATGTGTAATAATCCGTAAGATGATTATTATTGATTCTTCTTTGAGTTCTTCATCTTTACCTATGGCTATATATTTTATTGTAATGTGCAGTGTTGGGCAGAGTGTAAGCATATTCTAAAAGTACTAGACATGTGTAACGACCTCTAAAGAAAAACTAGAGATTGACAAATGGAGCTTTAGATAAGATAATGACTAAGTAACAATTTACATCTAGTTGATCACATATATCTGTATACAGAATCCTGAAAAGTGTTGACTAAAGTATACAAAAGCCATCAATTTTGCAAATGCTCCAATACTCTACCACAATTAGAATTCCATCAATGTTATCTTAAAACACCTGCCAACTAAGTTGACACTTATAAACTAGTATCAAGTTCTTTTCCAAGAGTGCTAGAATCCATTTATTCATATTACAGAGGTGCAACATACACCAGAATATCTAATAACTCTTAAATTAATTTTTCTTTACTTATATAAACACCACTAACCATAGGAAAATGTTTGAATAAAAGAATAATGACAATAAATCTAAACTGCAGAGTTAAAACCATAAAACAAAAAGTTGCATGGAAGAAAATAGCGACTCAAAATTTGATAAAAAGCCCTACACTGACAACAGACCATGAAGTGATCAAGATTAGATGGTATTTTATATTGAATAATATATGGTTTCTTAATAATTAAACAGTATAGAATACACAACATTTTGCCCATGCATGGTCAAAACTTAACAATATAAGAGCCGTATTTATGTATGACAGCAAAATATTTTATCAAACAATAGAGAATAAACAAAAATATAAATAAATACCCATAGAACCAATAACAGTCTGTTTATTAGCCATGGTAAACTTTATTTCAGTATACTTCTAAACTAAAAAATTATGGCGGTAAATGACAAGTGTCAACAGGATCGATTAATAACTTACAAAACTATAAGTTAGTATAAAATAAGGAAGAAATATATTATTCCGTTCTCAGATGCGTGAGAATTTTCAAACAATTTTAAAGAAATGTAATTTACTGTTCCTACAAACAACGATAGTGATAACTAACATTAAACAATTTAAGACAGTTAGCTCTTTGGGTATTATTGTACATCTGTCACCTTCAAAAACAGTAGGTTTGCTCTTGGTTATACATCATCTGATGTTGCACAATCAAATCTAATTGTAAATATTTTTAGTTTCAAGCTGACCAAGTTTTAAAGTTGAAAGTTATTATGGCTTTTCGTGTGCTTAATATAAATGTTCCCATTTTGAAAAAATCTCTTAGTTTTCCTGCTTTGAGCTATCACAAAAATGTGAGTTAACAAAAACAGACACTCTACTTGTGAGTTATGAATAAACATTTGGCTTGTATTGTTTAAATTAAGTTGATTGAGATTCTATAATTTATTATCCTTCATTAATACCACTTATTCATTTATTATTTCATTACTTATTTATTGGTGTAGTAATCTTCATAAAATTAATAAACTTAAATTATATTTTAAGGAAGAAAATGTTATTAAAGCAATAATATTAAATAATTAATTGAAACAAAGTTTATTGGATTGAATGTAGTAAAGGGGGAGCTGTTAAGGGTAATAGCCTTGCTTATCGCAGTGTTTGTCAGACTGAGCAACCAGAAGGATCTTTCTGACTTTCTTAAATCTAATTCCTCGGGATTTTTGAAGTATCAATGAGGAATGATATAAAGGTCAATAAGAAGCTTATTTGATGACTTAAAATTATTGAAGCATCACGTGCAATTTTACACTGATCAAGCCGTTAATAAAAAGTTTTAAGGAAGAAAGATTTTCTATTAGTTAGTAAAGGAGGATGACAGTCTTATTCCATTTCTTTTTAATATTGTAGTAGACCAGGTATGGATGATATGCAAAAGGAAAACTTGTGTAACTGTGGGCTTTTGGAAACTACTTCCAATGCTGGTCTTAAGTTTCATTTATGCTGATGGGGCAGAAGGTCCATAAGTAGCAGTCGATGAATGGTCTGAACAATTGAAAAGAAAAGTATAAAAGCTAAGGTATGCATATTAATAGACACCTAAAAATTAATTGCCTTAAACAGATTCTTGAACTAGCAGATAATTTTAATTATCTGAGTACTTTAATAATTAGAGATGGATGAATATACCAAGAGATATTGAACAGAATAAGCACAGAAAACGGCGCATTCTTCCTATTTAAGTTTGTTTGGGTTATTTGGTACTTATTTAATAGAGAGTAACGTCAAAACCTCCCTTCTTACCTAATTTCATTTCATATAACCTCCCTTATCTTATCTAACCTAAGTTATTCCCTTGTTTATTTTTTGTTTCTTGTGTTAGCTGTGAATTAATGTTGTCACATTGTGGAAATTGCCGTCTTCAGAAGAAGAGGCTATAAAATATTTTTAAGACGCCGGGATATTTGCAGAGGTCAAATATTGTAATGAAGGTTGTCAAATGAAGTTCGATGGGCAGATTAAATGGAGATGCTTATACCATAAAATGCTAATACCATAAACCATAGGGTCTCTACCAAAATAAATCAAGTTAAAATAAAATTTTTTATATTTTGTTTATATCGTTTTTTCATAGTGTTTCTTTAATATGTACATATGCTGATAAAAATAGTCACGAGTTCGCGTCCCGGTGCCGGGGGAGTCTTTTAAATCCCCGCTCACACCCCCTGGCCCGGGAAAATCCCGTATAGCCTTAACGGCGAGGAAGGGAAGGACCCAAAAAAAAAAAAAAAAAAAAAAAATATGCTGTTTAAGTGTTTTTTTTTTTTTATTTCATCTATTTTTTGCCTATTTTTATTATTTCATTTATTTTGATATATATGTTACAATATTTTTTAATTATATATTTATGTTTTGGTCTATTTTAATATATATGTTGTAAAATAAAAGTATTTTTTATTATTACTTTTGTTTTTGGCAGATAGCCGTCGCACGCTACCCGCTATTAAATAAGTACCAGTTATTTATATATGAGTCAGTTGACTACAAACTTTTTTGTTTTCTTTTTCTTTCGTTCTATCCTTTCTCACCTTGTAGACTATACTGGTTTTCCGGGGCCAGGAGGTGAGGACGGAGGATTAATGCCAAAGTTAAAAAAACCCTCGGCACCAGGATGCAAACTTGGAATTATTTCATCGTTTATAACTTTGGTTATCAGGTTGTTGAGCAATGCGCAGTGAAAAAAAAGTTGACGATTATCAAGAAACAATGTGACTATAAGTTAAACTAGGTATTTAAGAAAAGTAGCCGGTTAAACCAGAATAGACTGTATTAGAACTAACAGCACCCGTGCCATAACAGGAATAACTTCTGTTATTCTGTTTGAAGCAATAAGGGCCAAACTACTGAGAGAAACCAGACTTTACATCATCACGGAGCATGATTTCCCTCAGCTAATAAGTAGGCATAACTACCCGTACTACGAAGCATTTGTGTACCAGTGGAAGGAAGTAGTCAGTGATGATCACTTCAACCTCTGCTAACAAAGACTGAAGGACCTGGAGATAAGTAGTAAAAGTATCAACTTACTTACTTACTCCTCGGTGCTATAGTCCGTGTGGGACCTAGGCCTTCACAACAATACGTCGCCACTCATCTCAGTCCAATGCAACAGCCCTCCACCGCCTGGCACCAAGCTGTCTCAAATCCACGTCAACATCCTCCAGCCAACGGAGTGGTGGCCTTCCTCTCCTTGCTCCTCCTGGTCACCCTTTTAATATTTTCCTCGGTACTCGAACCGCTGCCATCCTTTCCACATGCCCTAACAATCTTATTCGTTCTGCCTTAATGACACTTACGAGATCTGCGTCCCTGTAAAGTTGTCGCAACTCCCGATTGTATCAGGAACTCCAAACGCCTTCATCGAATTCGGGCCTGTAAATCCTCCTAGGAATCTTACACTCTAAGAGCCCTCTCATGTTTTGCTGAGATAACCCGCTTCCGTATGTGACTACCGGACGAATCATTGTTTTATAGATTGTCAATCTGGTATTCCTTGATAGCCTTCGAAACGTGAGTAGTCGTTGAATGGCATAAAAACATCGTCTTCCTGCAGCAATCCTGGCTCCTATCTCAGCTCCTACGTTATTGTCTGCCGTCATATAGGATCCCAGCATCAACTACTTCTTAACTATCAACTACATTCTACCAAAAATCTGTATTGCCGAGAGGCAAGAGAAGAAGAAAATAAATTTAAAAAAACTTTAGTTGAAGTCTGTTCTGTTGGTGTTGTTCACACCTAATAGCACTGAAAAGATTTTAAAGAAAAGTAATTAATGATCTATGCAAAATGAAATAATTAATAACAGGGTAAATGAATAAAATATAGTTTTATTTTAAAAATTATTTTTACACTTTTAGTAGTTATTTCAATTTCTATATTGAATTAATCCTTAATCCTTACATTCAATATCCAATATTGTTTTGTGTCTTTTTCATTCTGTCCTGATGAATCCTGCAATGTGGATCGAAACATAGGTTTTGATAAATGTTTTACAATGCTTGAAGTTCTTTTTTGACAAGTTTCCTCCATTTTGATATGTTGAATATATTTATTACTTCCTCTAAAGTTAGATGCCAATAATATGACAGATTTCTTAACGAAAATACGGACAGTGGCAATTTTATTTTTTTAATTTTGTCTTTTGAGAAGACTGTTAGTCTGTTAATTAGCTCCTTTTTTTATAATATGAAAGGTACTTAATGAAAAATTTTTTTTGTCCAACTGCCATCCCTAAGATGTTTGATGAGTCTATTGAAGTTATTGTTCTGTCTAGTTACATTCCTGACTGCTTTTGCTTTTATTAGTGTAATACTTTTTTTAAGAGTTTTCTAGATATAATAAGTCTTGTTTGGGTTTGGTAGAATTATAACAAAAGACAATTCTACAGAAACTTTACCATTCCATTTTAAACTCAAAGATATTTGAAACATATTTTTTAAGAATCATTCTTTATGATAATATTTTAAATAAATATTGTTACAATTTCTACAGGTTATAGATCACTATGAAAACCCCCGTAATGTTGGTTCATTGGACAAAAATGATAACAATGTTGGTACTGGTTTGGTGGGAGCACCAGCTTGTGGAGATGTAATGAAATTACAAATAAAAGTTGACCAAAATGGTAAAATTATTGATGCCAAATTCAAAACTTTTGGATGTGGTTCCGCTATAGCATCTAGTTCCCTAGCTACGGAATGGGTGAAAGGTAAAACGGTATGTATTATCAAGATAAAACTGTTCGTTTTTTTAATGGTAGTTTTAATTAATTTTTTAAATGAGTTAAATTTAATTTATTTTTAATTGTAATTTTATTGCAATGTTGCTTGTTAAGCAGCTTAATTTTATAAAAATTGATTAATTTGAATAACTATTCATATGTTATTGATGTCTGTTTACTTGTATAAATTAAATTGTTTTATGATTTTTTTTTGTTTTATTTTTTATATTGGTAATAAATGAAATCATGCAGATTTGATCAGCATTGTTGTCTTTTAATTAATTAGAATATATTTGTCTTGTATACAAACTAGACTTAAAAAGCTATCAATTGATAAACTGAATACCAGATTCAAAGTAGATCAGACAGCTAATGTTTTGTTCAAATAGTTTCTGGATAATGAGCTGACCTCTTACTTACTTAAGCCTTAACTGATTTTAACAAAATTATGACTTGAAAAATTGTGGATGCTTAGAGCTGAAGTGTCCATGATTAATCTCAGCGAAATTAAACACTTCACTTGAAAACTAAGTTCTCTAATAGCATCTTACTAGTTTTTCTTATAAAACTTGTTACATTTAAGAAACTGAAATAGAGAAATATTTGAAAAAGATATCGCTAATGTTAGTACAAAAGGTCGTATGTAACAATTTTACATGTGTATTCTCTTTGCGCTAAAGGTGACATGTTGTAGTCTGTAACTGCTTTAAGTAATCTGCTAAATAGGAAAATAGTAGAAGGAAATAAAATATGAAATTATACTAATAAACCATAAAGACATAATCGGTTTTCCCTTCTGTAAAAAAACTCAATTTTTACATATGGCCTTTTGCACTAACAGTAGCAATATACTTTTATTAGTATGAACATTATCTTTAAGATATTGCAAACAATTAGTATTAGATATTAAATTGGTGTATAAGCATATTAATATTCTATGTTGCAGGTTGATGACGCATTAAAACTTAAAAATTCTGATATTGCGAAAGAACTTGCTCTACCTCCTGTAAAATTACATTGTTCAAGTAAGTTTTATTTTTTCTTTAAGATCTATATAGCTTTGACACCTTTGGAAACGCATCATTTACACATGCACTTGTGAGTGCAAACTAGGAATTAAGTTGATAATACTTTGCTGTCTCTTCCAAGGAACCAGTTAGATAATGAATTGATTGATGTTGGTTATAATAATTGTAATTTAAGATATTTAGAAAGATATGTAACGTAAAATATATTTAGAACAAACAAGGCCATTTACTATCTAGAAAGGCAATATTAATGAAGGAATCATATAAGTTATAAAATATAAAAGATTAAATTAACAACTAATTAAGGATCTTTGTATGGTGAAAACACAAGAGCAATAGATGGTTCTAGTTCACTAGTTCTTTACTGACAATAGTAGGAATCTAAACTTCAGTGGCCCCGTGTCTCTAAAATTTATTTCTTTTTAGTTACTCTGTAAATAAAGTTTTGGTTAGCTCAGTTTAACTTCGAGGCTCATTATTACCCTGCAAGACCTTCTCTTAAGCATTCAAATACATGGAATAGCCTCATTGAGCACTCAAAAGATGTTTATGGAGAGAAACCTTTTTATACAAAAGCATAGTGAAAAATCTGATGCCCGCAACACACAATTTTCACATACTGCTCAACTGTGAAAGGAATTATTTTCTGGCAATGTTGGGCTATTATACAATTTTTAACCAAGCTAAAGCTTAAAACTTGCTGATAACAAATCATAAATACCATTAAAATAACAAAAATCCTATTTATTATATCATCAGTTGATTATGGATTGTACGACTATTAGTTATTAAACTGTTATGTTATTTTTCATTGCAAAGTTTACTAAAATGGAATTATGAAATTTGCACTGTCTGTCATAGACAGTTCAAAAGTTGTCACACTAATTGCAAGTGGATACTGTTGGTATATCACAAAGTGGAAAATTCATCAAATTATTCACTAATTTAATTTTCTAAAAGGTTACATGATTTTTCAGAATAAATGGATGATAGATACCCAATTATTTAAATATAATATCAGATCTAGAATTATTTAATTACAATAAATATATTTAAGGTTATAAACATATCCACGAAATGTTTTTATGTTTCACTTCTTCTTTCATACAAGTGCAATGAAGTAGTTTTTTAAACAATATCATCGCCTTGATTAGTTGGATTATAAATACTTTTTTTCAAACTTAAAAAAAAATTTTAAAGTTTACATTTAGTTAGTAAATTTCATTCAATTTATTTGAAAAATGTGATTTCCGTTAAATATTAGTTTTCAAAAATTAATATTTATAATTTTTTGTCACATTCCATTACTTTCTACGACTTTCCATAATAGATCTTGTATTTTCTAAAATTCTCTGCTTTCCAACGATATATTATACGTATACCTTCTGACTAGTATTTCAGGAGATTCATTTTTGGCCTGGATAAGCATTTTTATTTTTTTCTCCTTTATTCAATTATTAAATTCTTTCAAAAGTTATATTTAGGCTTTTTTCATAACTCATAACTATGATGAATAGTTAATTATTTAAAATAAACAAAATTAAAGGTACTTTAGAGGAAGACATGTTGAACATTGGGTATTTAAGCCCTGTAAGTGACATCAATGGGGATAAGACCTAAATGATATTAAACACCACTTAATTATACAATGATGTACCGAGTTTAATCAAAATCGTTTGAGCCTTTTTTGGGAAAATTGTAAAAATGTGCATCAGTGTTGATATAAAGTGGCATTTCTGGTTAGCCGATTTTAGGGAAAAAGTTGCTGTCACATCTGAACCATATGCAAATCTTAATACATAACATGAGTTTCGTACGACTTTTCATTTTGGATCTAGACTTCACATACGCACACACAGACCATTTTGCTGGACTTGTTTATTTGGACTCAGGGGTCCTCAGAACATGCATTTCTGTTGAAAACCAGATAGGAATTGTTTTAAAAAAGTTTTTGTTTTTATCTCTTAATAATTCCAATATTTTTCTGCTTTGTTAACTTGGGTTTTTTTAGAAGCCTTTATAATTTTTTTTCATTTCTTCTTAAACATAATTTTTTTAATGAACCTTACTGTTCATATTCTTATCCTAGGATTCTCAATTAATACTAAGTGTATATATTACTAAATTTACATAATATATCATCTATTTGACTGCATAAAAGTAATAAATTTGATTTAATATAAAACTTTTTATCTGACTTAATTTTATGTAATGTCGTTTCATCTTTTATTTCACCTTACCTATTAACTCAAATAACATTTTTCACTGACATGTAATTCATTCTAATTACATTTATAAAAAATCTCACTTTCAAATCTGAGGGAATTATTAAACTTGAATTCCTAACTTAAATATCAATGTAACCTTCCGAGGCCTCTGAACAGAAGATGGCCTCAGGACCTTCTAATATAGAACTTTAATTTGAGTTCTTCCAATTGGTAGTTTCTCTTCATGTTGTCACATTTACTTGTTGTATTTTTCATGTAATACAGTTGTAAAGTTCATTTAAATACAAAAAATAAATGTTAAGATAAACATTAAATGCTATTAATTAAAAACTAAATATTTAAAAGAAGTTTTCTTAATCAATTTGATCAAAATTTTAATGTTTTAGTGCTGGCTGAAGATGCCATCAAAGCAGCTCTTGCTGACTACAAGATCAAACAACAGAGTAAGACCAAGGAAAATAAAACTGCATAAGCTTATTTCAAAGTATAATTATTTATATAGGAATATTGTGTTATGTTCAAACTGTAGATAGGTCTGTTTCTTCTGTTGTACATATATTTGTAGATAACATTATTTTTCATGGAATAAGTGTACATGTGTTTATGTATATCATAAGAAAGATATATATGTTGAATGTGATAAAAAATTAAGAGAAACGGGAAACAAGTTATTTTTTTATCATTTTTAGTGTATTTTGTTTGTTAGTTATTGTTGTTTTAATTTATCTTTGTAATGTTAATAGCATACTTGATTAAAAGCATCGCTTAACCCAGCTTCACTCTTTTCTTTTGTTAATTTTTTTTCCTATGTAATGTTAAAGGCATATTTGAATAAAGGCATCGCTAACTCTTCTCCATTCATCTCCTTAATTAAGTGATTTTGTTTTGTATATAACATACAAAACTTAATCATCCTTTTAGGTGTTAGATTAGGTATATAATTCATTAATCCATTGGGTATTGCACAGGCAAGGGCGATCTTTTCTTAGAGCTGAAATGCTTGACACCAATATTTTATATCTTAAAAATAAGTTGGAACTCAATTTTACAAAAAATATATAAGGCTCAAATATTTCAATGTAAATGTTATGAATGGTTTAGATTTTCTGATATCATACAAAGTTAAAAACCCTCTCAATTAAATAAGTGTAACTTATATTCATTATAATTCCGAATGGTCTAGTAAGGGGAAAATATAGTACTTACAGAAGTGCTAATAATGTACTACAAAATGGACCAAATATACTATCGCATAATACATTCATTAAAAAAAAAATGTTAATTATCTAATATTAAGTTATAATAAGTAATTAGTTGGTTTTTAGGTCCTATATGTAATAATTTATATTAATATAATAATTGGATCGTTAAAAAAATTATTAACAATTCATTTAACTGAAGTGGCCATCTGGATTATTGAATTTAGTTGTAATAATAGATCAGTCAAACCCATAATCAATTTTTAACAGGTATAATACTTCAGAGTGTTCAGAGATAACACAAAATTGTGGAGATTGGTTGGCTTTAATTGAGGAGGCCTGAGTTCTTGCTGGACCGCAGTGCCATAATAACACCTAAGCAGTGCTCTGTCACAATGAACAAATATTGAAAAATATCCCCTGAGATACACAAAGACATTGACTGAATAAATAATTCTGGTGGCTAATAGCCATAAGTGTCTAGTTTCTATGTCACAAATTCTTATAAACAAAACAAGATTTAAACTGCATGAAAACAAACTTGGGAATGCATAAGTTAAATATGTGAGAGAAAACATCAGCAGGTACACTCCAGTTGTCAGAGCATAACCAGTTTTTTGTATAGCTCCCACCAAAACTGATGCTCCAGGAGTAAAGACAAACATTTACTAGGACTAGCAAAATTGCTCCAGTTTATACCTCTGAGTAACTATCAATTTTATATCTGTCCTATATTCTAGAACAATGGCAGAGAAAACCATTTGGTACTCATCACTAGGAGAAAGCACACAAATTCTAGTAATAATATAGGTTGTCCTTAAATAGCTAAAAAAAAAAAAATATCAGAAAAAACTGAAGTTACTGTCGGGTCAGGTTGTTTTTCTTAGTGATTCACCAGATAATAATAAGATATGTATTTTCAGTAATTTGAATTAGTTCCATTGTCGATGTATTTTAATTAATGTTGAAAACTAAAAGGAGGTCCTAGTTGATTTAGGGTTCAGGCAGGAGATCAGGTTCAATGAAGGCAGAGCCATTCTTGTAGAAGAATGTGGATATGTTACTATAGAGAGTTACCATATGTATTATACCATCTTTTTTTTTTTTTAACATGTGGTTTGTTTTATATTACTTCAATAACAAGACTATTGTTAGGTAGAAGCATGTGCACTAAAAGGTTCTTAGAGTTGTTTAGTGCAACAATTAATGTTGCTCAAAAAATTGACATTCCAGGTGGTACAGACAGAAAAGATAAGGTAAAAATTAAAAAACAAAAAACTGCCAGAAGATAGCTTTATATATTTTGTATATATAATATACAATATAAATCTAAAATTAAATCACATTTGTAGAGCATAATGAACTCTTATTTTGATAAAAACAACTCTTTGAGCCTTTCAGAGTTCATTTGTAATACTAATATTTACAAGTTTTCAGCACTGTTCATTTTAGGTTAAAACAGGATGAGAAAATAATATGAATTCTCAGTACAATATAAGTTCTGTTGATGACAATTATTCGGATGAAATTATAAATTTTACTGTGATGTTCAAATTTCTTCAAATCAAATCAAAATATAATTATATTATTTACAACAGTGCAAGTTGAAAATCAATTACTTCATGTGGTACAAATCTATATACATACATATTAGGTAGAACTCGACATTAATTAAACTACAAAATAAAATTTAGAGATAAAAAAAAAAAAGACTGAATGTTCAAAACTTTACTAACCTCATTTTAAAATTAATTTATCTTAATAAACCAAGATTCTTCACATACTCAAAATATTAAATTATGTTACAATTTTAACAGCTAATTGTAATTAATTTTTTAATAGACAAAAGAAGATGGATCAAAAAATTAAAGTACAATTGTTTAATGGTTTATAACAGCATACAGAATTATAATACTGTAAATAAATTTTATGAATAATCTTACTCATTTTAAGCATGTGATTAATAAAGAAATCTTGATTAAAAATCACAGAATGCTTACAGTTTAATTCCTTTGGCAACACTACATTTTTTTTTTTTTTTTTTTGTAGATCTCTTATAAGTAATGGTATTTATAAAAAAAAAAAAAAAAGTACTTAGTAATTCACTATTTTTCAACAAATAATAAAATGAAAACAAATAACAAAAGATGAAGACTATACATTATTAAAACATGGCACCGAAATATTATTTGACAACAAAAAACTGAATTGATGCTAAATTATAATTAACTATTTCAATACAAGAAAGGGATAAAAAATGTACAATATGTCGGTAAAACAATTGCATTTAAAAAAATAAAAGCTTTAATTAAGAAATGCTGAAAAAGATTAAATAGACAAAGGGTAGGTAGATTTTAATAACCCATATAATTTAGAAAGTTGAATCAAACAGTATCAATTAATAAGGAAATCTAAGTGTTGATGACAATGGACTAAGATGCCCACCATTCTTAAGTATCAATATATTATACTTTGGATTTGAAAATTCGCAAACTTGTATAATTTTATGACTAATTTATACACACACCGAACAATTATCAACATTTTATATACAAAACTGAAAAGAAAACCATTTTATTAAAAAAAATAAATACTTATTTCTAAAACAGTCAAGATTTTAAACTAATTAATAAATTAGTTTAGACAACACGTGCAGTTAAGAACTGAGATTTTATTATATATTTTGAATGTAAAAATTATAATTTATACAATGCTCTTTTTTTCCCAAAAATCTACATAAATAAATAGCTATTGAATTTTCTTTTGAGGTCTATTGTTTCAAAAACAGAAAATAAATATAAAATAACAGCTAAGTTTCTCAAAATCCGTTCTCTCTTAACTCGAAGAAACTTCTTCCTCTGTTGTAAATTATCAGTTTTGGAGGAATGATAGAGGTGCATTAATAAAAGGAATTATCCTCTGATAACAGGCTGTTCATAGTTCATCCCGAAGACCATTGTAAACGTTGTTTACACTCTTTTGATTCAGAATTTTCCTCAGTTCTGAAAAAAAAATTAACTTAATGATTAAGAAAATTAAGCTAGCCGAACAACTGTTAATATTCTTAAATTCCATAAAACCAAAGAGATTTTTAGACCTACATTAATCTAACAAGCCTAAGTGTGATACAATCAGCCCATTTAATTCACTTTTATTTAAATTAATACATTGGTAGTTTTTAAATTAATTTTTTTTTTTTTCATTCTACCCAGCCATTTATGGCGTACGGTTACTTAATAATTATTACTACTATAATTATTTCTCCCAACTTTAGTTCCTTACATAAATTATTATGTAAAGCTAATATTTGAAACAAATTTTATAGTAAATTTGGTCTGTTTACTTCCCAATCAGATTTTGTTAAAATTAAAGAAGTTTTTACAAAATACTTCACCAAGAAACTAGCTGAACCACTTAAGTATGTACTACTATACAAAAATAAGGATGCCTTGAAATTGAGGATTATATAAATCATCGAGCAGAAACTAAACAAGGTTACATAAACTGTATGCGCATTATGTAGAATTGCATTGAAGTAAGGAGATATTATCTGAACAAAAAAAAAATTAACACTAATTTTATAAACAAATTATCAATTCCATGCTGCTAGTGCAAGACAAAAATGTTTCATCAGTTGACTAACAAGGAAGTGCTTCCTTTTAAGGAGAAAATTAAATTGTATATAATTAAGAACTTTAGTTTTTACTTAATAATCCTCATTTTTCGGGGACTCATATACCATACATTACAACAAAAAAATCTTACTTTCTTTCTCATCTTCTGAAAATCCTTCCTTTGGGAATTCGACATCAAATGTAATGTAAAGGGCTCCATGTAGGTTGTTATTATCATAGTTAGGCATACCTTCATTTTTCCTTCTTAATCTTGCACCAGGCCAGGTAACTTTATCTCTCTGTAATTAATGACATATAAAGTTTCAAAATTAGGTCATTTTTCACTCTTAGTAGACTCATTCATAATAAATAAATAATGAAAAACTGAAGTATTAAAATAATTTTATGCACTGACATTTAAGCTCCTAAGAATCATAACAAAAGGGATTGCTAATTTATCAATGTTTTCAATCATACTATAAGTAGAGAAGGCTTTTAATGAATATAAATAAAAATTTTTGATTTAAATTATAAAATACAGGTTAAAAATGTTTTAGCTCAAACTTAAATTTAAAAATATTCACTCATCAAAAAAACAAGAAAATGTAATGCAAATCGCTTGAATATATATCATTAGTTTATTACGAAAAGTTACAAAACATAGTAAACTTATTGTAACTATTTTTGATAAATGTTTAATATTAATCACTAATTAATAGCTCATAATATAATTTTAAATATGAATCCTACCTGAATAGTAAGTTTGCGACCATCAAGGTGTTCTATAACAAAGCTAAAACCAGTCAAAGCATCAGCTAGGGACACAGTAACATTGGTGTACAAATCATCTCCCCTTCTTTCAAAAACACGGTGAGGTTGAGTCTTAACTTTCAATATAAGATCTCCTGGGTCACCGTCAATGTGTGGTTCGCCCTCAGCTACAAACTTTACTTCCTGCCCATCTTTCATTCCTGGTTCTATCTCAACTTCAAGAAGTCGGTCTTCTGTAACATACCTATGAAAACAACTTATATAAAAATATCTCCATTATATATTACATTCAACAGCTTATATATGTATATTAAACACAAAAACCTGTATTCATAATATAAAAACTATTATGTGATATCTCTCTCATTCACTCTCTCTCTCTCTCTCTCTATATATATATATATATATATATATATATATATATATATATATATATATATATATATATATATATATATATATATATATGTGTGTGTGTGTGTGTGTGGAGAGAGAGAAGATAGATCACATAATAGTTTTTAGACTATGAATATATATGTTTTTTCTATTGGCAAGATAAAGTAGTCCAAGGACATACTAGCTCACAAGAAAAAAAAAAAAAAAGTATCTACACTATCTTTTCATAGCTCTCCAGATTCTGCCTTATTTATCAAATGAGTGTCTCATTTAGTGCCATAGATAACAAAGAGATAACAGAAACATAATAGATAGTTGGCACATTTGGTAGAATTATATTTAAAACTATTATTTAAATGTAAGAATATAAGTAATACTTTATACTTAATTCCTTGAACTACAAACAAAAAAATTAAAATCCAAGTTCGAACCTGGCAATGATAAAAAATTTCTATTTGATTTATGGGCTGTTGATGGACTCGGCATCAGGAAAAATCCTGACTTTTTGAGTGTCTGCTTTTTTTTTTATATCCACTAGTCATGAAATAATATTTTCTTGGTCTCATTATACATAAGCATAAGAATACAATGAATAGATTTAAATTTCACAAATATTATCTTAGCAGATAATTTAAATGAATGGACTAAAACTTATTTTCAAGATTTCATAAAAATTAAATAGGTGGTAACATATCAGAAAGAGATCAATAAGGCAAAAATAGGTTTGGTCATAAATTCAAATGTCGACAGATAAGTAATCTAACCCTAGAACTGTTGTAACCTTATCAGAGTTCTAAAAAATAATTGAGTAAACTTTCAACATTTCAGGTAAAAATGCATAATCAGAGAGGAAAGTATATGAAATTCATGTAGTCAAGGTCATGGTATTGTTTAAAAAACTACTTTATGGTACTTGTGTGAAAGAAGAAGTGAAATATAAAAATATTTCATGGCTGTGTATAATATATGTAAAATTTGATACACATCTAATGGGCAATGAAATAGTTTTTTAAACAATGTCATCATCTAAACTCCGTGGATTTTATATACTTTCTTGAAACTTAAAAATAATTTTAAAAGTTTACATTTAGTTAGGAAATTTCATTTAATTTCCTTGGGAAATGTGGTTTCCTTTAAATAATATTAGTTTTCTGAATTTATTATTTATAATTTTTTTTATCACTCTTCATTACCTTCTACAACTTTGAATGCTAGATATTGTTTGCCCTAAAATTCTCAACTTTCCAACAGTATATTAGAAGTATACCTTTTGACTATTATTTCCAGAAATTCATTTTCGATCAAATTCTTTCATAGTTTATATTTAGCCATATTTTTACCACTAACAATGAGAGATAGTTAATTATTCAAAATGACAAAAAAATAAAAACCAAATTAAAGGTACTTCATAAGAACAAATTTTGTACTTGAAATTGAACTACATTAATGAGGATAAGACCTACCTGATATTAAAGACCATTTAATTATACATTAATTCTCTGAGTTTAATCAAAATCATTAGCAGTTTTCGAGAAAATTGTATAAACATAGAAAATTGATAATATAAAGTGGCACTTCCGGTTCCGATTTTCAGGAAAAAGTTGCTGTAACATCCCAGCCATGTACCTATCTTAAATATGTAATATTAGTTTTATATGACTTTTCGTTTTTGAGCTAGGCTGTTCACATATATACGGACACATAGACCATTATGCGGGACTTGGTTATTTGGCCTCAGATGACCTCAAAACGTTCATTTCCGTTGAAAGCTCAGATTCGAAAATTTTCCCGATTGCAATACTTTCCCTTACTATATATTACATGTATAGGTAATTGAAAGTAAAAATGGTCTTACATCAGAAGTTGATTCTTATAGCAAGTTTCATGCTCTCTTTTACTGTGAAATCATTATCAAAGGGAGGTATATATGTTAAATTTATATTTAGAGTGAAAGAACCACTTAAAAATCAATGAGCTAAAAGTATCTTTCAAAAGCTACCTTTTTTTTGTTCCTCCCTACCTCACCTTTTAGGCTATAGGATATTTTCCCGGGCCGGGGGTAAGGGTGGGGAATTTAAAATCCCCTCCGGCACCGGGACGCGAACTCGTACTTTTTAAATCTTCTCAAATCTGTAATCCCGTTGCCAGGCAACTCGCGGTGCTCTGCATACGCTTTAGCCCATTCGGCCACCCCGCCCCCCTTTCAAAAGCTACCTGAGAACAAACGGAATAACCGGATTCTGATCACATGACTCAATGTTCAGTAATGGTTGCATGTTCTTTTAATAAGGGGAATAACACCAAAACCATATTTATTAAACTGAAATGGAAAGAGGGTTCCCTAAATTAT